AATTGTTTTTTAATTAAACTTCCTAACATTGTTTTTCATCAAGAGCTTTGGCATCAGATTCAAATGAAAAATAGTATGAAGCATGAAGCGCTGCTTATTTTTTCAGAAATGATTTTTATGTCAGGTCATGACATGAAGAAATTTTAACACAGAATAGGAAGAGTAATAATTTATTATCACAACGTAAAATTAAAAATATGAAGTCTATATGAGAATAATATTTAGTGCCATATCTATTAAATTCATATTAGCAAACATAGTAAAGTGCTGCTTCCTAAGTCAGAATATCACAATGTTATATGTAGTTGTAAAAAAAGAAACATCTGTTAATAAGAATTATCTTTCTTATAAATATTTTTTTCATTGGAAAAAATGTAATGCTAATAAAAATTCGAAATTTGGTTCTTGATACATTAAACAATTATTAAAATGGTCCTTTAAAGGATAGATTTTATTCAGTTTGTAAGGGTTTTGAAACTAGATTTAAAATGTTTCTTGTCAAATATAATAAAACAATTTGAAAAGTATAGGCAAAGGAATAATAAAGTATGAATAATATGAGGCCAAAATAAATTTATCAATAGTTTCTCAGGCACCACCACATTAGGTCAAACACTGCCGCATTGATCAATTTATTGACATATTGAACAGGAAATAACTCAATTTTCAATTTTTTTAAAGTTGAAAAAGAAAATTGAGTTATTCCCCCTTTTTCATAAATGCTAATAGATAGACATTTTTATTAGATAAACAATACATTTCTTGTTAATACAGTATTTTATGAATTAACTTTGTTTGGAATAACGTTATTTAAAGTTGAATGCATATTATAATCAATGAAAGAACAAAAAAAGTCGATATCATCATTCTGTTGAATGACTGACATGAAAAAAATGTAACACCTGCTTCAAAGGAAAAAAAAAAAGAACCTGCCTGCCACATTGAATTTTGAAATTTTTGGCCTGAGAAACTATAAATTGATTTTTTATGGCCTTAGTATTTTTATGCCCCGCCATGAATATGGCTGGGGCATATAGTTTTTGTCATGTCTGTCCTTCCATCCTTCTGTCCTTCCATCTGTCTTTCCATCGTGCTTTGCGTTTAGCTCTGTTCAAAGCTCAGTTTCAAAGAAACTCTCCAATATATTTTTATCAAACTTCATATGCTGAGAGATATTGATGAGAGCTATGCAACTGCTTCAACATTTTTTGACTTTGACCTTTCCTTTGACATTGACCTGGCTTTTCTTAACTTACTGTTTAGCTCAGTTTTAAAGATACCATTCAATAAAGTATAATCAAACTTCATATGTTGATACATACTGATGTAAGCTATTCAACTGCATTTTTTGACCTTTACCTGTCCTTTGATCTTGACCTCACTTTTCTTTAATTAGTGTTTAGCTCAGTTTTAAATATACCATTCAAATAGTGTAATTAAACTTCATATGTTGATACATACTGATGTAAGCTATTCAACTGCATCAACATTTTTTGACCTTGACCTTTCCTTTGACCTTGACCTCGCTTTTCTTAAATTAATGTTTAGCTCAGTTTTAATGAAATCATTTAAGATATTTTTATCAAACTTCATATGCTATTACATACTGATGTAAGCTATTCAACTGCATCAATATTTTTGACCATGACCTTTCCTTTGACCTTGACCTCACTTTTCTTAAATTAATGTTTAGCTCAGTTTTAAAGAAACCATTCAATATAGTGTTATCAAACTTCATATGCTGATACATACTGATAAGAAATAATTCAACTGCATCAACATTTTTTGACCTTGACCTTCCCTTTGACCTTGACGTCACTTTTCTTTAATTAGTGTCAAACTTCACGTGCTGATACATACTGATGTAAGCTATTCAACTGCATCAATATTTGTTGACCTTGACTTTTCCTTTGACCTCGATCTCACTTTTCTCAATTTGTGTTTTACTCAGTTTTAAAGGAACCATTCGTAATGTTTATATTAAACTTCATATACTAATACATACTGATGTAACCTTTTCAACTGCTTCAACATTTTTTTACCTTTCCTTTGACTCAACTTCATTTATTTTGAATTAGTGTTTAGCTTAGTTTTAAATAAACCATTCAAAATATTTTTATCAAACTTGCTGATACATATTTGTGAGAACTATTCAACTGCATAACAATAAAAATTGACCTTGAATTTTCCTGTGACCTTGTCCTCACTTTTCTTAAATTTGCATTTTGCTTAATTTTAAAGAAACCATTTAAGATATATTTAAGTAAGCTTATGCACTTATACATAATTTGGTGAGAATTTGTCATCTATATCCAACTTTTTAAATTTCAATTTCAATTTTAAAGAAACTATTCAAGATATTCTCATCAAATTTCATACACTAATACAAAATTTCATGTTGCATTACTAATATACCTTCGGTGGGGCATTCAAGTCCTATGGACATATTTCTAGTTTATACATGGAAAGTTATCTCTCGTATTAGAGGGTCCATCCCCCTTAAGGTTTTGCCAAAGGTCAATATGTCCAAAAATTTAATTTTGCAATAGCTCCAAAAGTATGTGAGGTATAAAGTTAAAACTTTTACAGCTTATAAATATATCATTGATTAACAGATAGAAAGTATCACTTGAAAACAAATATTTGTAAAAAAAAAAATATTTTTTGAGAAAAAAAGTTTCAAAAAAATTCGCATATTTTAAAAAAATGCACCGGCTTAATTCTGTTCTTTTAGTGAAAACCATCATTGCAGAAATAATACATGTTTATCAATGAAGGGCAAGTTGGATGTGAATGGTCTCTGAAAGGCTGTTATTGAAAGCATGGCATGTATAAAGACAAGACCCCTATAAAATCCGCCATTTGCAATGTACTTTCGGTTTCAGATCTTAACATTTGGACAAAATAAACAGGGAAATCAACTTTCCAGAGGCTGTCGAAGTCCAACTTGCCCTTCATTGATAAACATATATTGTTTCTGCAATGATGGCTTTCACTAAAAGTACGGAATTAATTAGGTGTATTTTTTAAAAATATATGCATTTTTTAAAAGAATTTTTCTCGATAAATATTTTTTTTTAAGTATTTGTTATCAAGTGATACTTTCTATCTGTTTATCAATGATAAATTTATAAACTGTAAAAGTTTCAACGTTATAAACCACATAGTTTTGTAGCTATTGTAAAAATAAATTTTTGTACATGTTGACCTTTGGCAAAACCTTAAGTCAAAATTTCGAAGCAATATGATTCTTTAAATAATTTTGATAATGAATAATTTTGAAAATTTTCAGCATGTGAATGATTTTTTGTTTTATGCAAACCTGCAAATTTTTCTGCAAATTTGTCAAATATAAAAGATATTCAAAATTTTGACTTAAGTCTGTTCTCAGTTTATGGTCTTGAGGCCTGAATTCAATATAATTTGACACACAACTAAACTACACCCAGATATATAATTCTGTGCATGGGTTTTCGATTTTTTTTTGAGCAGTGTTACCATGGTTTCTTAAACAGAAATTTCTGTGAAATACTTTCAAAATGCTACTACTCCAACAGTTTTTAGTCTGATTTCAGTATAACTTGGCACACAAATAGACTACACTAAGATAAATGGTTTTTTCGGTTTTTGATTTCGATGAACCGTGTTGCCATGGTTGCTAAAAATAGAAATTTCTGTCAATTTTATTTCAAAATCCTACTCCTTCTATAGTTTTAGTCCAATTTCAACAAGTAAACTATGCCATGATACATAATTCTATATATTGGTTTTTGATTTTGTTGAAGTGTTGCCATTACTGAAAAAGAATTCTGTGTTAAGAAGGGATTCTTCTCTGGTTTCTAACTAGACGAAATAATCCAAGTATATTTGCTTGTATGTCTTATATACTTAGCTGTAATGTATTTAAAAGATCATATTTTTCTTTACGCATCATAATTGTACAATTTTAAATAGAAATGGTAAACTGAGTTTGAAATCCAGCAGGGACTATATTATTGGCGCAACTGCAGCGTATGAAATATCTCCTTTTCTGCCTATCAAAATCACTTACAGAGCAATACATTTAGTTAATTTTTTTAAACAATCAAAGACCTGAAGAAATTTTTAAATTAGCTAAAAATAATAAAAATACCCTAAATTTTTTAACTATAGCAAATAATAATGATTTTCTAAACAAACTACAATTTTGTTAGCTTTTGAAAGCTTCAGATCTAAAAACAGATTTGAGCAAAAAATCAGTAAAAAGTGTTTTTACTCAAAGCTTTTTGTTTTCATATATTTTGTATATTTCTATGACTACTTTACCATATGTGAAAATAGGAAATATTTAAATATAAGAAGTATATAAAAATAACTAATGTATCCTGAAAATTAATAAAAACAGAGGAAACTCGGATAAGCCAATATCTCTTTCAGTTAAATTATGTCATTTAATTTGGTGGTATCATCTGATAGACCCAATATGGTAACGTCTTTTTGTGGAAAAAGAAAAACATTTTAACTTTTAAAATAGAAGAATGCATCACATGATTAGCAACAGTAATTTTTTACTCAAAATGTCAAGGAAAAAGATAATGACCTTGACCTGACCTTGCTTCTAAAATTAAATGGTCAAATTCAATGTAACTGATACCATCACTTAGTGATAAAGTCTTGAATCTATGAAAATTTCATAAATTTTTAAATACAAGAAATATGAGAAGAATCCCTCCTTAAATTCTTCCAAAATGTTACTCTTACTACAGTTTTTGTTCAATTACCATTAAATTTGACTCCGAAAGAGACTAAAGCAAGGATCATCATTTTATTTATTGTTGTTGCCATAATTCCAAGTCCAAGTGCCACCTTTCTTTACTTTTGTCAAGTAAAAAACCAGTAGAGCTATAGTCTCGTCATAGACTTCTGGTTTTTTCAATTGCATTCTTACAGAATTAATTAGGGGGAAAGGGGAGTTTCCTGTTAAAATTGTTGCCTTACCCCTATATATATTTTATTGACAGATACAATACCTCGACAGGAATGATAAGTGCCTTCACACAACAGATAATTCCTATCCCTCCCTCCACTGTTCCACCACAAGACGTCGTAAAAGAAGAGTATACAATAGCTCCATTCTATTGTTCTGGGGGATGTGGAGGAAATGCTACAGATGAATATGATGTCACCAAGTATCAGTTTGGGAAATGTATATCTATGGAAAAGTGCCAGTAAGTATCTCAAAGCCTATCAAGTTTCTTTAGGAAAATTGCTTTTTGTTGTAGCTTGCTATCTATTCTACCACATCTTAAATTGAACAATTTTTATTTTTTTTCTCAGTAAAGATTGATTCATTCCAAAAAATTTATTACAACTTGCTTTAAAATCTCTTAACTGTAAAGTCACATGTAAAGGATGCACTTGTGTAATAGATGCACCCACAAGGTTGGGGGGGGGGATCTTATGGAAAACACAGGTCCTATTGAAAAAACACACCCAAAAAATGCAAATATGAATGTGACTTTTAATTAACAAGTAATGTTAAAAAATGTTTGAAAAGTTAAAATATTCGTATCATTTCAAAAACAAAAGTAGGACACAACCTTTGATTTTCTTTGTAAATCTAGTTTACACACAAGATGTCAATACCTGCACCTTAGTGATTGTCTCCATATGTATGTTAGCTCCCTTGTACCTTTGTAACAGAGAAGCTTGAAAGTTTTATAATTTATATAAAAGATTGTATACATGAATCAAACTGAGGAGAAAATTCACAGGAGAGCATATGGCCATGGTCCTCTTATGAGAGAAATATATTAGGAATGCGTTAACCATTTTCTGCAATGGATATAATTATAAAGATGTTCTTGAACCCTTTCTCATTTTATAGATATTGTATACTATCGTATGTATGATTACTATTTAATGATTGAGTCAAACTAGAACAACTTTGAAAAAGACAAGTTAGAGCATAAATTCAAAGAAATTTCAGTTAATGAAGTATCGGTAGAAATGAAATATAATTAAACGTTAGACATACAGATTTGATATACTATCTCAATACAGATGTTTTCACGGGTAATACCATTGTGTGTGTGTTCCGATACATAGTACTTTACATGAAATTTTTATTCTAGAAAATTGTTAAATATGGCTTAGTCCAGTCTTCCAAATTCACCCTATCTTCTATCCCTATCTTGAGGGAGCCGTCTCTGATAGCATTTTTGATCGAGTTCTAGCATGGAAAAACCTTCAGAAACCCTCACTTTGTACCATGGAATTATTACAGTCATTCCCTTATAGATTTGTTCTGAAATCAATGCCATCATGACTAAACTCAGTCTTGAAGCCTTAACCTGTTAACTCAATGGCCATATTTGCAATTTTTATCTAGGCCAATATTCTGGATCATCTTGATGTTTGTCAAACGTTTTACTGATTTTTACTGCAGTTAAAATGGGTTGGGGATTCTGGATTTTTTTTTTTTTTTTTTGGCGCCCACGAGGGCATGAGAGAAATTTTATTTTATTCATTTGAGGATAAAAATGGGTAATGCACATTGTTGAATGAGACGCGGGAAGGCCTGAGAACCAAGTTATTAATCTTTTTAGGCATAAACTTTAAATTTATGTGGCCTAAGGCCAAAATCTGAAAGATTAAGGTTAACCTCTTTTCTTTCTCTATCTGCAAAATTTTTCCATTTCTTTCACCTTTTTTTTTTTTTTAAAGTCAATCCATAATTTTGAGATGTTTCTGGATTGGTTCTAATATTATACAAGCAACTGTACTACAAATGATGAGTCTCAAAAAGTAAATAAATGGAATGTAGCAGCCTTGTGCACATTCTGATAGTTAGATGTTTATTGTTATTGATTTGTTTTAATATACTCAAAAAGTTTTGCTGGCTCAGCCTGAAATTTATAACTTTCTTGTTTGGGTAAGTTTATCATGAAAATATCTTTCCTGAGATGACATTTCACTTGCCCCGGGCACGGGAAAGCTTAATTCTAGAACCCTGTATTTTAGGTTCAATGATGGGTATAATATTTTACATTTTTTAGCTATAATGGTAGGTATAATGTCCATTATTTTAGGTGTAATGATGGATATAACGTTGTCCATTATTTTAGGTGTAATGATGGGTATAATGTTGTCCATTATTTTTAGGCGTAATGATGGGTATTACGTTGTCCATTATTTTAGGTGTAATGATGGGTATTATGTTGTCCATTATTTTAGCCTGGTGTAATGATGGGTATTATGTTGTCCATTATTTTAGGTGTAATGATGGGTATAATGTTGTCCATTGTTTTAGGTGTAATGATGGTTATAATGTCCATTATTTTAGGTGTCATGATGGGAATAAGATAGGTCATTATTTTAGGTGTAATGATGGGTATTATGTTGTCCATTATTTTAGGTGTAATGATGAGTATAATGTCCATTATTTACTGTTGAATTTATGCAATCATGTGACGGTGTGATCCGACGTTCTGGATCACCACACTGTGGTTTTCCGAATCCATATCACCCCTCTCTGAAACTGATGACGTAGTACACAGAAAAAAGACGTTTTTATTCTCGCGTATTAAAAAGTTCCTTGACAAAATGGATTGTTTAATGGATAAAAGTTATGTAATTGATCCAAAAAGTTTCCTTTTATTATATTTTGCTAGTTGGAAAGGGGTATATAATTAATTTATCATTATAACAGTAACTTGATCCAAAGATTCGTATCACCTCTTGTTGACAGGCGCGGATCATCAGATCAAACTCGACGCTTCGCGTCTCGTTTGATCTGATGATCCGCGCCTGTCAACTTGACGTGATACGACTCTTCAGATCAAGTTACTGTTATAATAATATATATTTATTTTAGGTGTAATGATGGGAATAACGTTGTCCATTATTTTAGATGTAATGATGGGTATTATGTTGTCCATTATTTTAGGTGTAATGATGGGTATAATGTTGTCCATTGTTTTAGGTGTAATGATGGGTATAATGTCCATTATTTTAGGTGTAATGATCGGTATAATGTTGTCCATTATTTTAGGTGTAATGATGGGTATTGTGTTGTCCATTATTTTAGGTGTAATGAGGGGTATTATGGAGATAACTGTGAGAAGATGCTGTGTACTTGTCTAAATGGCTACTGTAAAGTTCCTAAGAACTGTACTTGTGACTCAGGGTGGTATGGAGATCGATGTCAGCATGCCATTTGTAGGTAAGTAGAAGAAAGAGTTGTATACCTCCACCTAAAAAACTGCTACAGATTGCAAAGAAGAAATCTTTAGGATCATTATGTTTGGTCTTTTTTTCTCTCATTTTAAGTGATATTTAGCTCACCTGAGCAAAAGTGATTGATATTTAAGGAGGGATTCTTCTCATATTTCTTGTATTTAAAAATTGATGAAATTTTCATAGAATCAAGAAGACATAATCACTAAGTGATGGTATCAGTAAGATTAAATTTGACCTTTTTATTTTAGAACCAAGGTCAGGTCAAGGTCATATCTCTTTCCTTCACTTTAACAATAAAGAAAATACTGTTTCTAAACATGTGATGCCTACTTCTATTTCAAAAGTTAAAATGTTTTTCTTTTTGTGTAAAAGGATGCTACCATATAGGGTCTTTCAGATGATACTACCAAATCGACATGCATAAAGATATTGGCTAATCCAAATTTCCTCAATTTTTCTTAAATTTTTAGGATATTTTAGTCATTTTTATATGCCTCGTATATTTAAATTATTCTTATTTTTACATATGATAAAGCAGTCATATAAAGATACAAATTGATTCAAAAACAAAAAGTTTTGACCGTTTACTAAGGGAGAAAAAAACACTTTGTACAGATTTTTTGCTCAAATCTTTATTAGATTGAAAGCTTTTAAAAGCTAATAAAATTGTAGTTTGTTTGTAAAATCATATTTATTTAATATGTTTTAAAACTTCAGTCCATTATTATTAATTTCACTTACATTTGAATTTTTTTAAAAGTCTTTGATTGTATGAAAATTTTAATTAAATTCAATATTCTACAGTAATTTTGAGAAGCAGAAAAGGAGATTTTTTCATACGCCATCATTCCGCCAAAAATATAGTCCCTGCTAGATTTCAAACTTGGATTACCATTTCTATTTAAAGTTGTACACCTATGATGAGGAAAGAAAAATATGATTTTTTAAATCACTTACATGTAAATACATAAGACATATAAGCAAATATACTTCGAATATTTCATCTACTCAGAAACCAGACAAGAATCCAACCTTAATCATGCATATTAGCAAGTGTTGCTTCCTGTATTAGTACATTGGGGAAGGGGGGGGGATTGCAGTTCTGCTAAGGTATCTCATTCCTTAGGTTTACTATTGTTAACCATTGTTATTACTATTTACTATTACTGTTGCACATGTTATGTCAGTGTGCCCCTATATTTCTGTGTATCGGTACTGTTTAGGATTTTAAAAATGTTGCAATGGTTACTGAAATATATATATTAAAGTATGACATTGTGGTATTTGATATATAATACTGAGTGTACACCTAGAGTGGAACGTTAGTCCAATAAGGACAAATCTGTTTAATTTTAACATCTCTTATGACAATATCTGGACCCAATTTCCTTTGAACTTTTGCAGCTTGTATGATACTTTTGTATTTGTTAGTTCTTGTGTAAATGGGCGGTGTACATCTCCTGATGTGTGTACGTGTGAAGGCTCCTATACTGGTGCCGCTTGTGATACATCTCTCGTCGTTGCTACCGTTGTGCCTATCCTTTGTTTATCTGTTGCCATTGTTGCTTCCATTTTCTTTGTGAGATGGTTCCTCAGGAGGTTTGTTTTTACATCTTGTGATTTTGATTCATTAATGTTAAAAAAGAAATAAATTGCACAAAAATAAAAAGCATATTCTTGACTTTCTACTAAAAACTCTTTGCCCTAAATTTTATAGAACTTCTTTTTTTTTAAATGGGAAAAAAAATCTTATCAAATTATTTTCTTCTTTTGGAGTGTTGCAATTTTGCAAAATATTTCTTGATACAAGAAAAAAAGATTTTTTTTTTGACAGACAGCATCTGAGAAATGCCTTACAGAACTTGGACTGGTTGGTTAAGTTTGATGAAGTGATGATTGGAGATGCAAGAGCTCTTAGTTTTGTGTCCACTGCTGGAGAGGACCTAGCAATATCAAATAAATCTAACATCTGCACATGGAGAAGTCAAAAATGTTATATGCAGGTTTGATTTTAGGAAAAATAAGGCTTCAAACTTTTGAGAGAATAATCTTGTGCAGTGAAAATTCAAAGAACTATATCCGGTAAAAGCATAATTTGGCCCCATTAAAAGCCAAACTTTGAAAATCTCTAGAAATATACACAGTTGTATATATTAAATGAACAATCTAAAAAGAAATTATCATAGCTTATATTCAGCAATTCTTGTTTCTGTGACATCACAAATTATTTGAATTTTCCATTACTTTCAAGAAAGACAACAAAATGGAAAAAATTTAGCTCAATTTACGGAGTGCAAGCTTGCTCCAGAACAATTTTCTCATATTTCATTGATATTTATTTTACACATTATAATAAAAGATTGAGTTGGGGCAGACCTGTGCTCGATGACTTTCAATCAAAATATTGATGTAGAAAACACTTTTTTCTCTCAAAATCATTAAAATTTTAATTTATCTTCTTGATGTCATGTTTAACATAAGGCTTCAGGGCTGATGATCATAGGTAATGCTTTGAAGTCTGCAGTCCCCAGGTTTAGAACATAATTCTAAATCTTTGGGATGTTTAGTTTTATTGGTATACCAGTATATTGTGATTTTTAATTGTGTGATACGTATTGTGATACGGAAACTAAAATACCAGGGATAGACATTAACTTTCAGATTCACTTGCCATTTGGGCAAGTGATCTTAAACTTTGAATTGTCCGAATGCAAAACTTGGTTGCCCCAAATTAGGAAAGAACTTAAAAAGAAAATTTTTTATTACTGTAAAGGTTATGATAAGAAAAAATGTGACCAAATACACTACTGTTAATTTGGCAAGTTGAGCTACCTGAAAAAATTTCAATGCTGCATTTGTACATAAATTATACCACTGTACTAGTAAATTTAACACTGCCATGCAGTAATAATCATCCGTTTCCTTTTAATAAAATTCATATTTTTAAAAATTATTTTCAGAAGGATTGTTTTGTGAATCCTGATTTTCAGAGATAACTGTGAACAGCGGTGAAGCAACGCTCAACATACTCAAGGAAGATAATTACTACTAAACGTACATCTTATCTTGATCAGGATACATCATATTACACTGAACTGTACTTGTATTCTGTTCGTGAATAAATAATCTAATTTCCTAATAAGTTAACAAAGTTTTGTTAGATGAAGAGCATATTTACTACAAAAGAAAATAACGAACCCGATTTTTAAATGAACGGTATAATTGTATATTCCAGAAAAGCTACCAAGGATTCTCAAATGCAAAAACATTGTCTGTAAAGTACGCGGCGGAAATCATGTTCTTTTTTTTATAAATTAATGTAAACTGAATAAATATGTACATTTGTATGAGAAAAATTCACTTGCCCGATCAGACAAATATGTCGACAGTTTCCCTTGTCCAAACTGAGAATTTACTTGTCCCGGGCAATCGGACGACCGTTAATGTCGATCCCTGAATACCGGTATTTAGGTACATAATTATAAATTCCAGAAATTATTCATTTATTTGTTCATTCTTTCTAAATACAATACAAGAAGTGTGAAAAAAATGTTGAAAATGGTAAAAGTATCCAAACATGCTTAATATTACATATATTATTTAAATGAAAAAAGAGATTTTTTTCCCAGCATATTTTTAGGAAAAATTATGAATATTCATTGAAAATCAATGTAAAAATTGCTCGTAAAAATATTGTGATATTTTGGAAAAAAAATTGTGATATATCGTGATATGAAATTTTTGGGGTTACCCATCCCTACTAGATTTTGCCAAAGTTTGATTTTGGGGGGGGGGGGGGGGGGGGAGAGATATTGGTCTTTAGAATTTAGTCCTTTATTTAGGGCTGTCCAAAAAAGAGGGAGGGGCAATATAGCATCAGGCCTCTACAATTTTACAAATGAGTAGATAAATGGTAGGGCTGGGACAATGCAACTTTTTTCATATCAATACATATCACAATATTTGAACCATGATACGATATGTATCACAATATTATGAATTAGTCATAAAATCTTATTTTGATGCCCCCGCCATAAAATGGTCGGGGCATATGGTATTACCATATTCTGTCATTCTGTCATCATTGACTTTCTGTTCATTATTTCTGCATCAGTTGCACAAATTCAACTCAAATTTGACATATGGGTACGTCATAGGAATACGCAGATAAAGTTTGAATTTGGCTGTGGTCCGATGATTTTTGACACAGTTATCCCTCTTGAACTTAGAAAGAAAAAGAAGAAATTTCCAGTTTCTGCTCTCTAAGTTTTGTAGGGATGTATGTATAAGGTTGAAATTGCATAAGCAGGTATTTTATCAGAAAATACAGGTCAAGTTCGAATTTGATTATGGTCCAATGATTTTTGACAGAGTTATCCTTCTTAAGCTTGGAAAAAAATAAGGAATTTTCAGTCTCCGCTTTCTAACTTTTGTAGGGATGAATGATTGCATATGCAAGTATTTTACTAGAAAAATACAGGTCAAGTTCAAATTTGGTCATGGTCCAATGATTTTTGACAGAGTTATCCCGCTTGAACTAAAAATATTCAGTTTCCGCTCTCTTAACTTTTGTAGGGATGTATGTATAAGGTTGAAATTGCATATGCAGATATTTTACCAGAAAATACTTGCATTGAATTTGGTCATGGTCTGATGATTTTTAATAGAGTTGTCCCTCTTGAAATTAGAAAAAATAAACTTTCAGTCTCCACTCTCTGCAGGGCTTTCAATTCTCTAAAATTGGGGCCATTGAACGGCCCCGTTCCCAAGGCAAAAAGTTAACTTTTTTCCCAAAAAAAGGTGTAAATTTCCCAATTTTCTATAGCAAGATATTTTTAAAAAAAATCAAAATAGATGAAACTTAATCGCCAAAAAACAAACACTTACAAGTGAAAGTGAAACAAACTAACTACTGTTTTAATTAGTTAATGCCATTATATTCGTAAACTAGTTCGGGGAACCAGCTGCAGGTTATTGTTATACAGATTTAGGTAACTATGAGCCATGAATAGCATGGCAGAATATTATGTCAAGAAAATTGACAAGAAAAAAATCATCTAGGTGCCAGAATAAAGACATTTAATTTAAGCTGCTCCTAGCACCAGGCCCACCAGTCAGTCTCACGTTGAATCTGAAAACTACGATGACCATGTGATCAAGGAAATTCGGGAAGATGTGACTAGCTACTGTCACTCAGAAAGACAAATAACCACAATTTCAACACTCACAGTTAGTAATGAACAAAACCAATGCACTTCCATAAATAGCCTACCCATGTTTGTACTGTTTAACAGTTTATTCAAAACCAGAATTAAACTGATGACAAAATGCCAGAAAAACAAAATTTGAGGAGTTCCCCCCCCCCCCCCCTATTTTCCCAGAATGACGGTAATTTTCCCAATGTGAATGGCCCCAGCCCCTCTCCCAAAAACTGGAGTGAGAGCCCTGTGACTCTAAGTTTTGTAGGAATGTATCTATAAGGTTGAAATTGCATATATGCAGGTATTTTACCAGAAAATACAGATCAAGTTTGAATACAAGTTGAAAACTAAATATGGCATTTGAAAGTTTGGCTGCCTGCAGGGGCATTTGTGGCATTATGACACATCTAGTTGTATTAAAATGTACAATACATTTCTTCACAATGAAGATTAATTTAATTAAAGAAGCTGTATATCTGTTTCATATTAATATTCATATTTAGTATAATTATATTACGTATTAAACCAAAAATGTTTAATAAACAAAGAAAAAATAAGTCAGATATTTTTTGGGCAATATTTCAATTTTTTACACAACATATCAAAATGCATATCATCCTCAGACAAAATTGGTATTCTGATATATTGTCCCAGCGCTACTGAAGGGGAGTGGAGGGGCAATTGCATATCTTAATCTATATTTTTTTTAATTTCAGAAATTCAATTGTGATTCCCTGTCTGTAGAAAATGAAGACCTGCGATTTGAAGTTGTAAAATTGAAAGAGACACGTCACAATAATCTGATATTATTTGTTGGTGCCTGTCTGGATTTCCCAAATGTTTGTGTTCTGACTGAAGTGGCTCCTAAAGTAAGACTTCACTTCCTTGGCATATATTTGTTATACCAGAATCACCATGTCTGTCTGTCTGTAATTATGTATATGCAAGATTATGGATACTTGATCTTCTGATAAAAAAGGTAACTCTAATAAAGATTATTGACTATAGTATATTCCTTTCTTAGATTGGCATACCAATCTGGAGCATGCTTCAGATTAGAATAACCTACATTCTCTGCCTCAGTGACTCGTAAGGTCAGCATTATTTCTGCTTCAGTGACTTGTTAGGTCAGCATTATTCTCTGTTTCAGTGACTTGTTAGGTCAGCATTATTTCTGCTTCAGTGACTTGTTAGGTCAGCATTATTCTCTGTTTCAGTGACTTGTTAGATCAGCATTATTTCTGCTTCATTAACTTATTAGGTCAGCATTATTCTCTGCCTCAGTGACTCGTAAGGTCAGCATTATTCTCTGCTTCAGTAACATTGTTGGGTCAGCATTATTCTCTGTTTCAGTGACTTGTTAGGTCAGCATTATTCTCTGCTTCAGTGACTCTTAAGGTCAGCATTATTCTCTGCCTCAGTGACTCGTAAGGTCAGCATTATTCTCTGCTTCAGTAACATTGTTGGGTCAGCATTATTCTCTGCTTCAGTAACATTGTTGGGTCAGCATTATTCTCTGTTTCAGTGCCTTATTAGGTCAGCATTATTCTCTGCTTCAGTGACTCATTAGGTCAGCATTATTCTCTGCTTCAGTAACATTGTTGGGTCAGCATTATTCTCTGTTTCAGTGACTTGTTAGGTCAGCATTATTCTCTGCTTCAGTGACTCATTAGGTCAGCATTATTCTCTGCTTCAGTGACTCGGGCCAGCATTATTCTCTGCTTCAGTGACTCATTAGGTCAGCATTATTCTTTGCTTCAGTGACTCATTAGGTCAGCATTATTCTCTGTTTCAGTGACTTGTTGGGTCAGCATTATTCTCTGTTTCAGTAACATTGTTGGGTCAGCATCATTCTCTGATTCGATGACTCATTAGGACAGCATTCTATGCTTCAGTGACTTGTTAGGTCAGCATTATTCTCTGTTTCAGTGACTTGTTAGGTCAGCATTATTCTTTGCTTCAGTGACTCATTATACCCCCCACAAACGAAGTTTAGGGGGGTATATTAGAATCAACTTGTCCGTCTGTCTATCTGTCCATCTGTCTGTCTGTCCATCTGTCTGTAGAAGAGATTTTGTTCGGACCATTTCTTGGAAACTGTTGCAAGGATTTGTCTGAAAATTTGTACACTTATTATTCGCCATATGAAGGTGTGCACCTGGTATTTTCATCATGATTAGATAATTTTTTTGCATTTTACAGGTGTTTTTTTCATTTTTAGCTCACCTCGACGAAGTCAAGATGAGCTTATGCTATACCCCCAGCGTCAGCGTCGGCGTTAGCGTCGGCGTCCCGGTTAAAGTTTTAGGATAAAGTCCCATTCCCAAGTAACTATAAGCCCTATCTGGACCAAACTTGCATGGATGATGCATCTAGGGATGGACACTACCACACTTGCTTCGGATGCTGGATCTGACCTAGATTTTCCAGATGACTGACCAGGTTAAAGTTTTTGGAGCAGGTCCATTCCCAAGTAACTATAAGCCCTACCTGGACCAAACTTGCATGGATGATGCATCTAGGGATGGACACTTCCACACTTGCTTTGGATGCTGGATCTGACCTAGATTTTCCAGATGACTGACCAGGTTAAAGTTTTTGGAGCAGGTCCATTCCCAAGTAACTATAAGCCCTTCCTAGACCAAACTTGCATGAATGATGCATCTAGGGATTGACACTAACAAACCTGCTTCGGATGCTGGATCTGACCTAGATTTTCCAGATAAGTGACCAGGTTAAAGTTTTTGGAGCAGGTCCATTCCCAAGTAACTCTAAGCCCTACCTGGACCAAACTTGCATGGATGATGCATCTAGGGATGGACACTACCACGCCTGCTTTGGATGCTGGATCTGACCTAGATTTTCCAGATGAGTGACCAGGTTAAAGTTTTTGGAGCAGGTCCATTCCAAAGTAACTATAAGCCCTACCTGGACCAAACTTTCATGGGTGATGCATCTAGGGATGGACACTGCTACACTTGATTCGGATGCTGGATCTGACCTAGATTTTCCAGATGACTGACCAGGTTAAAGTTTTTGGAGCAGGTCCATTCCCAAGTAACTATAAGCCCTACCTGGACCAAACTTGCATGGATGATGCATCTAGGGATGGACATTACCACACTTGATTCAGATGCTGGATCTGATTTAGATTTTCCACATATGAGACCAGATTTAGATTTTGGAGCAGTCTCATTCCCAAGTGACTATAAGCCCTAACTGGACCAAACTTTTATGGATGATGCATCTAGGGATGGACACTAACAAACCTGCTTCGGATGCTGGATCAGACCTAGATTTTCCACATGAGTGAATTTTAGCAATATTTTAACTAAATTAGTATGGATGCTATATCTAGGGATGAACACTTCCAGACTTTCTTTGGATTCTGAATCTGACTTACATTTTCTAGATGAGTGACCAGGATAATTTTTTTTTGGATTAGCTATATAAAATTATGGCCTGTTATGATTAAACTTGCATAGATGGTGCATTCAAGGATGAAACTTCCAGACTTGCTTTGGATGTTGGAACTGACCAAAATTTTCTTGATTAGTAAACAGTTTTTTGAGCAGGTCTATTTCCAAGTAACTAGAAGTCCTACTTAAACCAAACTTCTATATATTGATCTTGGGATGTACCCTAACTAGAAAAAAAATATGATGTGAAATTTGCCTTACTTATAGATAACATTCATTGAGGTGAGCTTCGTAATCTTTGATTACCTATGTTTATTATGTGGTTTTGTCTGGATCTGTTCTCAGAGACTATTGCATAGATTTGTATGAATATTTGTACACTACAGCTGTGAACTACAGCTTAAAACAACTCATTAGGACTAAAATTAAAAATATCACAAAGTATTAAAAACAGTTTTTACATTACACAGCAGATAGTGTAAATCCATTTTTCCCTTGGGAGTAATGAGTGGACATGCATCCAGTTAAAGATTAATTAATGAGTTCAGTGTGGGAAGCTGTTAGGGCATTTCTGATCAAGCAGATCTTATCTATATCTCCTGGGAATTGGGCAGAAAGAAATAAAGATGTCTATTGTCTAAGTCTGTTAATTGTAATTTATGTCTGTCAAAATACATAGTTACCGGAACCAGCCTTTTATTTTTAAAATGAGTTTGATATAAAGGTATTAAGATCAATTTGATTTTGTATAATTCATTATTATAATTTTTTTTAAACAATCAATTTGCAGAGTGTCATGTCTCACAAAGATGACAGATAGTTGCAAACTATTTTTTCAATGTAATAAAAAACACTGTAATTATTAGTATTGATGTTTTATTAGCCTGAACCTTAGTTTCATTCATTAAAAAAAATATAATGAGTAATTAAATTTTCACTCTAAATGTTTAAGCAAATTGTGAACACCTCTCACATCTTGAAAACATTAGTGATTTGGTACCTTCTCTGAAAAACCCAAGGGGGGGGGGGTATTTGTCCCTTTTGGACAGTTCTAGTTAGGTCAGCATTATTCTCTGCTTCAATAACTTTGTGGGTCAGCATTTGTATCTGCTTCAGTGACTCGCTAGGTCAGCATTATTGTCTGCTTCAATGACTCACTCGGTCAGCATTATTGTCTGCTTCAGTAACATTGTTGGGTCAGCATTATTCTCTGTTTCAGTGACTTGTTAAGTCAGCATTTACCAAGTATTTTATAACGTGAGCTGATTTATCTCTAGTTGCTCTTTTTTAGTTTGATGCAGCATTTGACCTATATTTTACTTGTAGAGGATTAAGATGGTTTTAATCTTACCACTTAATAAACTTCCTTATACAGTATCTCTAGACTCTTTTTTCAGTGTAAGATTTCAGATGTTTGAGTGTGTTTTGGAGAGGGATTTAAAGCAATATGAGCTGAAACTTTGATGTTGGAAATTTTTGTTGCAAAATTATAATTAACTATTTCAAGGACAGAGAAAAAGAACTTTTATAAGCTTCTGTTGTTCATATTTGCGATGGAAGAACTATTTATAAGCTTTGATTGAAGCAAAATTATATTATTGTCGTCCTGTACAATATTGATTTCTTATATAATACTATATATTTGATTGTATAGAAATCTTTCTTCTGAAACAATTTAATACTTTATTATGCCCCGTCATGAATATGGCCAGGGCATATAGTGTTTGTCATGTCCATCTTCCGTCCTTCTGTCTGTCCTTCCGTCGCTCTTTGTGTTTAGCTCAGTTCAAAGCTCAGTTCCAAGATATTTTTATCAAACTTCATATGCTGATAGATACTGATGAGAGCTATTCAACTGTATCAACATTTTTTGACCATGACCTTTCCATTGACCTTGACCTCACTTTTCTTAAATTATTGTTTAGCTCAGTTTGTAAGAAACCATTCAAGATATTTTTATCAAACTTCATATGCTGATACATACTGAGGAGAGCTATTCAACTGCACATTTTTGGACCTTGACATTTCCTTTGACCTTGACCTCACTTTTCTTAAATTAGTGTGTAGCTCAGTTTTAAAGAGACCATTGAGGATAGTGTTATCAAACTTCATATGCTGATACATACTGATGAGAGCTTTTCAACTGCATCAACATTTTTTGACCTTGACCTTTCATTTGACCTTACTTTTCTCAATTTGTGTTTAGCTCCGTTTTAAATTAACCATTCAAAATATTTTTATCAAACTAAATATGCTGATAAGTATTTGTGAGAACTATTCAACTGCATCAAAAATGTTTGACCTTGAGCTTTCCTGTGACCTTGACCTCACTTCTTAAATTTGCATTTTGCTAAGCTTTAAAGAAATCATTTAAGATATATTTATGTAAGCTTATGCACTTATACATAATTTGGTGAGAATTTATCATCTATATATCCAATTCTTTAAAGAAACTATTCAATATATTCTCATCAAATTTCATCCTATGGACTATGGACATATTTCTAGTTTAAGTCTAATTGATCATAAAGGTTTAAACTACATACAAATTTATCATAATAAAACATTTTAACAGCAAAATAAAATTCTCAAAAATGCAGCTCATATTGCTTTAAGTTTTATCAAGACAGATTATATAAAGATTTTGGATATTTAAGTATGAAGTTCACCAGTTCACATTTTTCTTTAAGCCTTCATTTACCCTAAACTGATTATAAGGAATTATTCAGTAAATATATTGACAAGTAGATAATAAAGAGATTCAGGAAAAAATTAAACCTTAGGCCACATAAAATTGAAATTACGGTTCTCAGGCTTGCGTGCATCCGTTTTGAGGTAGCTGCATTGTAAATTTTATTGTATTTTTGATGGTCAGGAATATAAAGTTGGTAATGTGAATAATCTGAATGAATATCGCTTCTGGTAGCCATTTTCAAGAGACTTGGCCAATTGGGTTAAAAAACATTTGAAGATAATGCCTACAATGTTCACATGTTGATAAGCAATGAATATAATGTAAACCTATTGATCAGACATTTAACGCATTACAATTTACAAGATCCTGAATTCTAATCATATCAAAACAACCCTTACTTGCATGTTGAAAAAGAAAGCAGGTGATAATGCATTTTATGCAAATAATAAATATACACTGGACAAGGTATAATATAATGTATAAGGGCATAGAATACAACTGATGAAGATCTGAGGTCTGTATAGTTCCACTCTAAAGTTGGAACTTAAAAATTTTCTTGATATATCATTGCATCTTGCCAAGTTCCTGCACAAAAAAAAAAAAAAAATTAATGCTGGTCAGTATGTGAAAAAAATTCTGTGGGTGGTACAGTCTCAAATTTTTTGGAGTACATGTGTATTGGGAAGAGTTTTTAAGCTGGAATAGTCCTTACAGAGAACAAAAAGGCAGATAAATGATCCTTTGAAATTCACTTATAAGTATGATATATTGATTTTCCTTGTCCCATGAATGTCCCTTGAACATGGTAAAGTTAAACATTTCATTACAGGGCAGTATTGAGGATTTACTACTAAATGACTCGGTAAAACTTGGATGGGACTTCCGTTTTTCGTTATTGAAAGATATATGTCGTGGAATGGAATTTTTACACCGCTCCGATATTGGATCACATGGAAGACTCAAGTCTTCAAACTGTGTGGTGGATAACCGATGGACTTGCAAAGTCACAGGTATTTGTTTTAGCTCTACTGGTCTAAGTTCAGTTTGATGTGATGGTATAAAGGTATTCATCTGTCTGTCTGTTTAGCTACCTCTCCTACAGTTTTGATAAAAATTTAACAAGCATTCTGAGAGTATTGCATTAGCAATACTAGTCCCCCAACGGCAAGTGTAATCTGGTTCCCGTTAAAAATTGAAAATGCCATAATTCCTTCAAAAATCAATGAAGTGGAACAAAATGCAAACTTGATCTATATCTCATTGAGGTAAAGTCACATACCGAAAATCAGCTCAATATCTGCAAGCATTTTGAAAAAAAGTGCAGAAAACCAAGTGGGACAGAGGGACAGACAGACAGACGGACAGACTCAGGAAACCTATAGTCCCCTCGGGTTTCACCGGTAGGGGACTAATATATAAATAGTACACGTTTTTGAGAGTAACAGTTGAAATTGATACCCCAAGGAAAACCATTGTCAACCTCCGCTGACGCGTCAGTTGACAATGGTTTTCCGAGGGGTGTCGATTTCAACTGTTACCCTCAAAAACGTGCACTATTTATTTTATTATACTGAATTTCTTATTGATTTCGGATGTCATAAAAAAAATTCAGAGATCGTCGTTAAGTTCACGCTTAGAAAGCTTTCCAACTCCCCGCTTCTATTTTTCTCAATAAGAAAGCCCTGGAAAAGATTTACCAACCTTTTTAGCTCACCTGAGCCGAAGGCTCAAGTGAGCTTTTCTGATCACATTTTGTCTGTAGTCCGTCTGTCCGTCTGTAAACTTTTCACATTTTCGACTTCTTCTCCAGAACCACTGGGCCAATTTCAACCAAACTTGCCACAAAGTATCCTTGGGTAAAGGGGATTCAAGTTTGTTCAAATGAAGGGCCACACCTTCTTCCAAGGGGAGATAATTAAGAATTCCTGAAAAATTAATGGCATCATTAAAAAATCTTCTTCTCAAGAACCACTGTGCTTGAAAATATGAAACTTATGTGGAAGCATCCTCAGGTAGTGTAGATTCAAGTTTGTTCAAATCATGACCCCTGGGGGTCAGGTGGGGCCACAATGGGCGATCAAAGTTTTACATAGGAATATATAGGAAAAATCTTTAAAAATCTTCTTCTCAAGAACAGCAAAGCCATGATTGGTCATATTTATATGGTAGCATCCTCAGATAGTGTAGATTCAAGTTTGTTCAAATCATGACCCCCGGGGGTCGGGTGGGGCCACAGCGGGCGATCAAAGTTTTACATAGGAATATATAGGAAAAATCTTTAAAAATCTTCTTCTCAAGAACAGCAAAGCCATGATTGGTCATATTTACATGGTAGCATCCTCAGGTAGTGTAGATTCAAATTTGTTCAAATCTTGACCCCCGGGGATCAGGTGGGGCCACAATGGGCGATCAAAGTTTTACATAGGAATATATAGGAAAAATCTTTAAAAAATCTTCTTCTCAAGAACAGCAAAGCCATGATTGGTCATATTTAAATGGAAGCATCCTCAGATAATGTAGATTCAAATTTGTTCAATTCATAACCCCCCCCCCCCCCCAACCACTTTTATATTTAAACTTTTCAACCTTTCAAGACTGAACTGATTTCTGCTTTACCTAGCCATAGTGCTCAGGTGAGCGATGTGGCCCCTGGGCCTCTTGTTATTGTTTGTTTGCTACTCAAAAAGTCCTTTATCATCTTAAGTTTGCACTCACAAGGATGTTTCGTCTGTCGTTTGTTGTTTTCAAGTAAGCTACATCGGATGCAAACTTTTATTGATGTTGTTTATTCAGCTTCTTTCAAATGCACAACCGACGCTTTGAGAATTCTACGGTGAACCGTACCTGCATGATTTGAACGCATGTGAAATTTTCGTAATGTTACCCGTTGTCAAGTGTGTTGCTGATGCTGAGGGTAACATTATGGATTGTTAAATGCGTCTAAACCAATCAGATTTTAGTATTTAACATGAAAGTATAATAATAAAACTTGGTACACAAGTACAGTACACCAAGACACATGATTCTATGTGTTACGATAATTATGATCTGAAATAAATTTATTATTTATTGGTTTTTTGATTGGACAAGAACAAATTCCAGAATGAGTTAACACATTGATAAATCTCATCAACCAATGAACTACTGTGGAATCATCTAAATTTGTGGGGGTCAATGTTCATGGGCAAGCAAGATTTTATTGGTTCGTGGGGATGTAATTTCGTGGGCTGCTCGTTTATTTGGTAGATTCAATAAATCATATGTTGACAAAATAATTGTTCAAGGGGATGTAAATTCGTGGGTAAGGGTGACCCACGAAATCCACGAACATTGATCCCCCACGAACAATGATGATTCCACAGTACTTCCTTAATAAATATCATCAACCGGAACTACATTCTTGACCTTATAAAACAAATTCCTTTGCAGGGATTAATCCAGGCTTTAGTTTAAACTAAGGATTGTGGAGAAATTTTAGGAAAATCATTCGGGAGTCTAAGGGCCCAGAGTCCTTTCGAGGGGGGGGGGGGGGGGGTTGAAATTGAATTTGAGCATTTTAATGGCCATTTAAAGTGGCTTAAATTGCAAAGTATAACCATTTTTTTGTGTTGGTCGAAATGCACAGGTGACATGGTACATGTACCACATATACAATGGCAAAGATTGCCACCACACTTTGTACACGGGCACAACTTAATCTTATCCTTGTAGTCCTACAGTGTAAGTTTTTTTTTACATTTGTAATTATTTATTTGTACATAAACCACTTACTGTTTGGATTTGGTGTAAAATAGTTCGAGCATGAAGTTTACTGTTTATCAGACATATTTTCAGAATGTAATTTAATATCTCTCTATTATACAATTCAAATCCATATTATTGCAAACTGCATATCTATTTGGCATAGTGTGATAAAGTTATATTTTTTAAATAGTGTCTAACATATACTATCCATCTTTGTGTGACATAACACTTCCTAAATTAATTAACACTGCAATAGATTTGATTGACGCATGTTACACAATTGTATAAAGAAGCTAAAATGATACAAGAACAACTTACCTAGTAAACGTCAAGGTGTCAACAATTTAATGCAAAATGAAAAAAATATTATTTGAACTTTTTTAAGAGTGTGGGGGGAATTTTTTATTCATTATTATAATATATTTATTTGGAAGTGTCCTAAGGTGATTCAAATTTTTCAAGTCTTGACCCCCGGGGTAGGGTGGGCTCTCAATAGGCAATCAAAGTTTTACATTGGAATTAAATAGGAAATATCTTTAAAATCTTCTTCCCAAGAACAGCAAATCCATGATTAGTCATATTAATTCAAAAGTATCCTCAGAAAGTGTAGTTTCAAGTTTGTTCAAATCGTGTTCCCTGTGGGTAGGAATGGGCCACAATAGAAGATCAAACATATAGAAAAACAAGATGTGTCTGTGAAACACTGATGCCCCCGTATGGCAGCTTATGGCGAATGTTAAAGTTTCTCAAATGCAAGTCAAAATCCAGGCCAAAAGATAAAAAATGTTGGTACCCAAGAAAGGTCTTGTCTCGAGGAATATACCTGTGAAATTTGAAAGCCCTAGCTGCAACTTTTCAAAAGTTATGGCGAAGGTTAAAGTTTTTTAAAAATAAGTAAAACGTCAAGGTCAAAGGGTCAAAGTTGTTAGTATCCAAAGAAAGGTCTTGTCACAAGGATTACATATGTGAAGTATGAAAGCCCTAGCACTAACCATTCAAAAGTTATGACCAAGGTAAAAGTTTTTCAAAAGTAGGTCAAACTCCTATGTCAAGGTCAAAGGGTCAAAGTGGTTGGTATCCAAAGAAAGGTCTTGTCACAAGGATTACATATGTGAAGTATGAAAGCCCTAGCACCAACCATTCAAAAGTTATGGTCAAGGTTAAAGTTATTCAAAATTAGGTCAAACTCCTATGTCTAGGTCAAAGGGTCAAAGTGGTTGGTATCCAAAGGAAGGTGATGTCACAAGGATTACATATGTGAAGTATGAAAGCCCTTGCATCAACCATTCAAAAGTTATGGCCAGGGTTAAAGTTTTTCAAAAGTAGGTCAAACTCCTAGGTCAAGGTCAAAACGTCAAAGTGGTTGGTATCCAAAAAAAGGTCTTGTCACAAGGATTACATATGTGAAGTATGAAAGCCCTAGCTCCAACCATTTGAAAGTTATGGCCAAGGTTAAAGTTTTTCAAAATTAGGTCAAACTCCTAGGTCAAGGTCAAAGGGTCAAAGAGGTTGGTATCCAGAGGAAGGTCTTGTCACAAGGAATAAACGTGTGAAGTTTGAAACCCCAAGCACCAACTGTTCAAAAGTTATGGCCAAGGTTAAAGTTTTTCAAAAGTAGGTCAAACTCAAAGGTCAAGATCAAAAGGTCAAAGTTGTTGGTATCCAAAGGAAGGCCTTGTGACAAAGAATACACATATGAAGTTTGAAACCCCAAGCACCAACTGTTCAGAAGTTATGGCCAAGGTTAAAGTCTCATAAAATATCGCAAAAGTGGGTCAAACTCCAAGGTCAAGGTCAAAAGGTCAAATATGATGGTACCCAAAGAAAGGTCTTGTCACAAGGAATACACATGTGAAATATGAAAGTCATAGCTCCAACCAATCAAAATAACAGACAGACAAACAGATAAACAGACAAACAGACAGACAGGACAAAAACAATATACCCCCTGGATCTTTCGATCTGGGGGCATAAAAATCATCTAAAGCCATGATATGGAAGCATCTTCAGTTAGTGTAGTGTAGTAAGTGTATAGGAGGCTGAGGGTGGGGGGGCGGGGGTGGGTATTTTGCGATCACTTCTAATTTAATCTTTTGAATACTAAACTGATTTCTGCTTTTTCCTATCCAATGTGTTCATTCATGTGAGCAATGTAGCTCATGGGCCTTTTGTTTGAAGTTTTTCCTCCAATATTTTTCATCCAAATAGATCAAGGGCCCAAATCTTATTCTATCTTGAATGTCACATTAGAAATTGTGACAAAGAAAAAGTTTCGATCTACTTTGTATAATCAATTATTCGACCTTTCTGCACTTACAAAATGTCAGTTTTATTTCTAAAAAATTTAAGCAATACATTTATTTTAAAGTCTTAAGCTTTTACAGGAATTAAGCAGAATGGTCAAAGTAATCTCTTATATTCAGAAAAGAAAATTAGAAGTGTTGTCTGTGATGTCATTTTTTACATATTATTAAAAAAGTGTCGATTTGGAGCTAGAATTGGGGCTACTTTTTTCTGGACTTTGACAACATATTTACTGAATTTGTCTCAATATGATGTTAGAATTACTTGTAATAATAGTTTATTTAAAATATAACTTGGAACCAGCGTAAAGCATTTCACTGCACAAAATAACGGTGTGCAGCCTTGCAAGCTAAACTTATTCATGGTGCTGTTAAATGTCATCTGAAATACTGAAAAAAGGTAGGGGAGGGGTAAACAGGTCTGGTTTATTGTGTTCAAGTACTTAAAGGGTGTGAAAGGTATAGCTTAGATTTTGTTGTTTGTCACATAAATACGCATTCCCACTAAGGCCACACCAATTTGTAAAATAGTTCTTCAGATTTTCAAAAATAAAAAGTGAGGCGAGAGGGCGAAATAATTTTACAAATAATATTTTTCATTTTGGGGTTAAAATTTATGAGGCGAGCAAATTCAAGTAATATAATTTTTTTTTTGATGAATAAAGCATGATTTCAAAGAGCAAGCGCTTAAAAAATAATGACTAAATATTATTAGATATCATAAGTATACCACATGAACTTATGATTTTTAAATTTTTTTGATATTGTTTTCAATAATAAAAAGTTTTCAGGTTTCAAAGACTTTATTTTCATAACAAGTAATGTTTTGCTACATTAAATAAGGTCTTTTTGAAGAATTTCCTCTCCAATTTGTTGCCCATTCTATCAAATCATTACATAAATTCTGTGGTCTCATTTGCTTATAATTTTTCCAGGCAGAGAATAATTTTTGGAAGCATTCATAAAACGTGAAAATGCTTCTACTCTTTGTTTGTCATGTTTTGAATGAGATACGTGTTATATTTCAATTTAATTTCATTTCTACAAACAATCTTTTCACTTCGGGACATGTCCGGTCTTGAAATCTCAATTACATCGCTCTTAGAATTTTTTTTATTTTGAGAGCAAACATCATCAATATTCACCAAACCTTTCATGGACTTTTCAATGGTCTCTTTATAGTAACATCGAACAGCGCTTCAAAAGTTTCCTCGGCTTCTAGTTTGATGGCAGTATAAGTAAAAAATTCACATCCACTGTTTTGAACTATTGACGTATCGTACACATAAAGACTTTTAAGAGTAGACAAGCATCGTGTTGAACTTCACACATTGTTACACAGTATGAGTTACGAAGTATGAACTTTCTAAATCCTGTGCTTCTGTTATTCCTCAACCATTTGTTCTGAAGTCTTTTGTGCATTTGGTGTAAAAAGTTGAGAAAAAATGTACCCGGATATTTTTGGATGTGTGGGTGGACGTATTTTTTTTTTTATAATATTTGGATTTGTTACAAATAGAAGTTTCAAATCTGATGACCTATATTGCAAATTGGTATGGCCTTAAGACAGAGGTGTTAGTGTCAACAGCAATAAGTGTATAGTAATGAACAGCTTAGAATTCTTATAATTTTGTTACAGCTTTCTATAGAGGTTATCTTGTTTTCATTCAGTGGGTTACTGTTCTTTTATTTAGGTTTTGGCCTTCCAACTTTAAGATATGATGGTCCCAGGAAGTACTTTGGTGAAGTGCATGAACCAAAAGTCAGGTATTGATAAAAATAAATATTAAAATTGAAATGCTTAAAAGAAATTGGTCTGAATAGCATGTATTTAGCTCATTATCCTGAAGGAGGAATGCCACACCAAAATTTTATTTCATAGATTTTTTAAGACATCCCTGTTAAGTTATGGTTTCAGCATTGAAAGGCCAGTATTAGCTCTTAACGAGGAAATTACAAAAAAATGGACCAGCAAATATTTTTGAATTTTTAATATATTTTTGTATGTACTATACTAAGAAAAAATAGATTAAAATTTTGTTACCTTGCCTTGATTGTAGTGGAATGGGGGCAGTTTCAAAATATAGACAATTTTTCGTGGTTTTAGACACAATTATATGCTAAAACTACATAAAAAACAGGGAATTGATAAATTAAAAAATCTAAATGGTGAAATGTTTTTACTTTTCGCATATATTCATAACGCGATATACATTCCTCATTTAGAAAAAGTGGGGGTAGCCTTTATTGTAGTGAAAAGGTGGCATATCAAAACACAAAAATAGGACTTTAAATTATATCCAAGATACTTTGTAAGTTGCAATAGGTTTACATAATATCAAGAAATGATCGTTGTATTTATTTCACGGAAAACTATGGAGAGGGGTAAACACCCCAGGAGTCTGATCTACTTTTGAAAAGACCTTAACCATGGCCATAACTTTTAAACAGTTGGTGTTAAGGCTTTCATATTTCACCTGTGTTTTCCTTGTGACAAAATCTTTTTTTGAGTAACAACATTTTTTACCTCTTGACCTTGGAGTTTGACCTACTTTTATAAAACTTGAAACTTGGTCATAACTTTTGAACATGAACAGCTGGTGCTAGGGCTTTAATATTTCATTGTGTATTCCTCATGATAAGACCCTTCTTTGGGTAGCAAGCTAACTTTCTGTAGAGCCGAAGAGGTGGTCCACTTAAAGGGAATTTATAAGGAATGATTGAAGAATGTATCTTATATTTTCCAGCAACCTGTTCTGGACAGCACCAGAATTGTTACCAGGCTGTAAAACACTGGACCAAGTGAGATGTGGTACAAAAGCAGGAGATGTGTACTCGTGAGTAATGGCTTCATTTATAAAACTTCTTATCCAGCTAGAGCTGATGGATCACTGTACTTAGTAAAAGTCACGAACAATAAAGAAAACAATTATACCTTTGATTAATAATTGAAATATTTCATTTCTTTAGGCTATTGTTTATTTCACCTTCAAATGGACTTCACTTCACCCATAGTTTTATTCAATACATCTGGTGCATAAGGGATCCTTTTCTAAAAGAATGTTGGTTAGATTGTAGGCTATAACAGAGACCTAAACAATGTCTCTGGCTATAGCTACCATGGTCAGTTTTCAACCTGTGGGAGGAAATTAATTAGGGCCCCGCAAGGATTTGCGGGTGCCCTATAGTAATCACTCTGTCTGTCTGTCCGTCTGTCTGTCTGTCCGTCTGTCATTCTTCCGTCCACAAATTCTCTGTTTTTTTCTAATAACTTTTTTTAGGGTTGATCAATTAAGTTCAAATTTGGTATGTTGGTTGAATAGGCAGTAAGACATATTTTGATGCTAAGTTTGGTTCTCTTTGTCATCCGGTTTGGAGCTGGGGTGGTGGGGTGTATTCCTTAACTTTATATATAAGAGTGAATGGGCAAAGAGAGATAACTGCTGGAAATGTTCCTATTGTAAACTATGAAAGGCTGCAATGAGTCTCTTGGGATTAATTAACTTTCCTCTTGAAGAAAATCCAAAGCATTTATCTTTATCTGCCACATTGATATTAATTAACACCTCTGTCTGCAAATGAAGTTTGTTTTGAAGTTAAGGTCAGTTCTGAATGATGTTTACATTCTCTGAAATGTGGATTTAAATAATGTTCATACTTTATTTTGGTAAAATACACAATGAGTTATGATTTTATTGAATTCTAAAAACAAGATATAGATAAAGATATCTTTTTTATAATTATTATTTTTTCTTTTTTCTTTCTTTTTTCTGCCTTATGTAAATTCAAGCATACTATTTATTTTAACAGGTATTCAGATAATAACCTCATTCTATCATTGCTGAAAAAGTTCTTATTGTAAACTTAGAAGAAAAGGTTGAGAGAGCAGTATAATTAATCCCATGGGTTTGATTATCTTGCTGGTTTGCAAAATATTTTAGAGGGTTATCTTTCTGTCACTTTAAGATTAATTAACACCTTTGTCTGCAACTGATATTTGTTTTGGAGTTAAGGTCAAGCCTGGGTGATACATGTATTTGCATTCACTGAAGGCTGGCATTTTAGAAAACACATGCTTCAATTATTTTTAAATATACATTTAATTGTGTTATAATAGATATGATGTTTTTTACTGCCTTATTTAAATACAAGGATACTATTTACAGATTGTTGGATATTTAGCAGTTGCTGTTACTTATTCTTTAAATATTTTGAAATTTTTGGAATCAAGTAAAATTCTCATCCCCTAATCTGCACCCTTATATTTCTAACCCTTGGCAGGGCCCTTGCTGACTGGTCAGATTTCTAGTTTACATGCAGTTACTTTTGAATACAGATACATTAATATATCACCAACATGTCATTGTGCAACAAAGTCGTCAGCATTTCATTTGTCCTCTGAATGGGTGAAATGTTTTGAATGGCACTCCTATTGATAAATTTGACACTAAACCAAGCTATGATGCTGCTATGGACTATGCAAGTTTACCTTTATTTACCCGCCATGTTTATCTTAAACCGGAAGTACGAATTTCGTAAATTTGAAATCTCGATCCCGACTTAAATTTGACATCGGGGAGAAAAGAAAATGTTTTTTCTCAAATATTATTTTTTTCTGAAAATTAAAAAACTTGAGCTGCGGGTTTGTTAGCCTAAAAATGAAAAAAATGCTGGCCTAATGAAAGTTGTTTTCCAAGATTCCATGATATGTACATAAAATATTGTTTTCTCTTTTTCTTGGTTCAATTTGTTCCTGCTGGCTCTGATAACAATCTCTTCTATCAGAAGCCATTTTAAAATATTTACATTTGCCGATGTCTTTCTTTATATGACAATACTAATTGAATTGACTTTCAATTTTCAATGATATGCAGTGGTCACATGATCAGACTTTCTTGTGTATGGAAAGCAAACCATGAGCCATTTGGAAAGTTCCGATTGTGACATTGCATGACTTTGTATGTACGTTATGTTGCATTTCCATAACAAAGTCTAAATAGTGCCTATTTTTCCTTGTAACACGAATAAAAGTAAAATATAAATATAGGAAAAGAAAATATCATTTTTTAGAGTTTCTTTGGGATATGACATGAAGTCGTTACGTGATCAAATCTACTTTAACTTCGGGCATTATAGAATTTGATCACACGACCCACTTCATGTCATATCCCAATGAAACTCTAAAAATGATATCTTATGTCTTAATTGACTTCAAACTTTTGATTTGTCAAAACAACTCCCAGGTAATTGTATACACCTGCACTGATAATTTGCTAGTACATGGCCTACTGAACATAGCAATTGGCATTGTTTACATGGATCCAAGCTTGGATTGTAACTGGAAGTTGAAAGTGCAACCTAATTTACGAACCAAATCCGGAAGTTGGGAGATTTTCGGGTTGTTCGGCAAAAATTGGGTAAAAAGCATGACCCATCCTGTCATAAAAAATAATAGGGTTAAGGGTCGAAAAATTGGTAACTTGATGAAATTGAGTGAGTTGGCAACTATGTTGAATATTTGTACAAATTTAAACATCAATAATTAGCTAGGTCATTTAGTTGTCTTGTGAAAAATGGACAAGTATATTTACACACAAATTAAAACCTTGCATTTTAATGTGCAATAAAATAGGGGTTATAAATTCACCTATATATATATATACTTTTCTCTTTTGGTATAGTATAGTTGATGATATTCTAGTTTTCTTTGACCAGAAAACATGAATATTTGTTTTGGAATTTTACAGTTTTGCCATAATCATGGGAGAAATGTGCACACGTGAAGAACCATATACAAAGGAACTGGGCTTCTTAGATCCAGAGCAGATTCTCAAACTGGTTATAGATAAGGATGCTCCAAGTGCTGCTGCAGCTAAGAAGGTATATAAAAATGATAAGACACACTTGTTGCTTCTATTTGTTTCAAAATGCATCTGTTAGTGAAGTTTGTTGTTGTGTTGTAGATTTGGTACAAAATATACAGTGGCTGCAACATTATTGTTGACAAACCAATCATGTAGACTCATTCGTGTAACGTGCATAATTGTTTGTGTAACGTGCATAATTGTTCTTGTAATGTGCGTAATCGTTCGTGTAACGTGAGGGATTTTGCGTGAATCAGGTTCAAACGTTCAAGGTTTTAATCGTGCGTGATCATGCGGTTAGAAAATTTAATGTGCAAATTTCATTTTGTAAACTAGTTTTTATCAAAATGTAAATTGTTAAACAAGCATTTCACTTGTCTGTTTTTTTTGTTTTTTTTTGGTTAATTGAAATAAAAGAAATGAAGTATGATTTACAAAATTGAACAAACTAATTTTTGCTAGTAAATAATCAATAGAATAAGTCGTACAATATTGTATTCTTTTAATATAATGTAACTTTTAATGATAAAAAGTCTTTAAAATGTTTAACGATTTTTCCTCTGATGTTAATAATGTTTACTTCTAATTGTGGTCAAAATATTTTTTATATCAGAATATCAAAAATGTATATCTTTACAATAAAATTAACAATTCCCAATGCTTACATATAAATATTAAGTCGTGAATGTACACGTGATTGCGGGAGTTACTTTTATCACTGATACTTTATTTTTTATAATTTCTGCAAATGAATGAATTGTTAAAATAATGCTGATTTTAAAGATTCACCAATGGAAAAATAGATATAGTTTAATAAATTGATTTTTTTAAGCCAAATTATTTTTAATCTTATCCCCCTTACTGCATATCATAAAATCCAATAGAATCAGAACTCATTGCCCACCTATAATAACATGCAGCAATTGATAATAAATTTCATCGTTGCGTATCATAAAGATAAAAAAAATTCAGTTTTTCTAAGTCCGTGAATGGCATATCAAATATTTGTAATTAATTATCCAGTTTCAAAAATATTCATTTTTAAATATTTTTGTCCTTCAGTTTTTCCAATAATCAGTGAATTGCATAAATACAGTTGAACTTCTGTATCTCAAACACAGAAATCTTGTATACCATGGATATGTCGAAGTGATTAGGAAGTCCTAATTGTGGATTTCTTAAGTAGTTAACCCGTGATATCTCGAACCCTCGGATATCTCGAAGATTTTACTTGGTCCCATCGAGTTTGAAATTACGAGGTTTGACTGTAGTTATTTGTAATCTTAAATAACTATTAAGCCTTATTTCCTTTTGAAAATATCCACTTCTAAATATTTTTAGCTAATTTGTGTAAAGAATCGTGCGTTTGCGTTAGCAATCATGAAGAATTGTGTAACCAGGGTTCTCCAAAAGGGGTTTTACTATGGCTGCAAGCCATGGTTAAATTTATGTGCGCCATGGTTAAACGAGCTGTGCCATGGTTAAAATCGGAGGCCGCCATGATTATATTTTATTGCATTTCAATACTGACGCTTAATATTTAATAACCTGAGTAGTTAATTGTGTTTTTACTAGGACTGGCATGCACCTTGAGAGAAAGCAGACTGTACGTTTTAAACAAACATGGTCGTTGATCTGCGAATACCATGAAGCATGACAATTGAGAGTCAATCAGTTGATGATCAATATCTTGAGGGTTAATTTTTCTGTACACATGTAATTTCGAACTCCAATGTTCACTATATACATGTAATAACAAATTTACAAAAGATAACACAGGGCGCAGTAACGTGACGATGTCTAATAATCGACAAGCATTTGAATCAAGTTTCTGTGGCCAAAAATAATTTTCCTGTCCCTTGTACTTAATTAATTCCTCTTGCTTTATTTTTAAATATCAATGTTATTATTTTTCTGATTAAATGGACACTAAGTAATGCTAATCACCATGTCCAAGTTTTAGAGTTATCTCCCGTTTTTATGAAACGTCGCATAGTGCTATTTTTAGCAGTGGGGCACATGGAGAAGTAAACTATGGAAGAAAATCGGCGAAAAACGCATTAAAAAAAAAAAACTTTTAGAAAGAATAGAACAGAGAAAACAGTGTTGCAGTTATTTCAAATTCATGCTCCTGTTTATATTGAGTTTTGATACTTATACCATCAGTAAGTTTTCAAAGACCATTCAGTTAAAAGTTCAGACAATGTTAAGATGTCGGTGCTTCGCAAACCGTGACTAATCCGCGTATGGTCATCGTACTGTTAGAAAAGGTGTGAAACCAGGTGTCAGAATACGTTATAAAAGGTGTAATTATGTAATGGGACTAAATTTCTAATACTTTATAAGTGATACTAAGTTATATACAAAATTAATACGTTGTAAGCGGTGTTTTTTCCAATGAAATATATAGACAATTTGCTGGGACTATGGGATAGCTACTTTACATCCGGAGATACTTTATAACCGAGTACATTATAAAAGAAGTTTACTGCGTATACATGTATTAAATTTTAAAAAAATATATATATATATAAAATTCTTTTAAAATGATCCTACAGTTTTGATCCAATTTTGGTACATTTAGTACTTTTGTAAGTTAAGATACATAATCCTTTTTATTGTTTTATTTTTATTAGCTCTTCTGAGCCAAAGGCTCAAAGAGCTAATGCTATGGCCATTTGTGCGGTGTGCGTAAACTTTTTAGAATATGGGCCATAACTCAAGAACCCCTTGGCCAATTATTGTCAAATTTGTCACAGGATATCCTTGGCCCAAGGGCTCCCTTTTATACTAAAACTGGGGTTGTGACCCTTTAACAAGGGGAGATAATTAGGAAGATAGAAACAAAAGTACTGGTTACTAAAAAATCTTCTTCTCAAGAACCACTGGGCAGATTATCACCAAACTTACACAAAAGGATGAGGATATGTTGTAGATTAAAATTTGCATGGGGATTTACCCAGGGGCAAAGGGCGTGGTCTCAAGGTCACTTCAAAGTTGACCAAAAATTACATTTTATTAAAATGTTGATATTTTGCTTAATATAAGGACTAGGATCATCAAATCTTGTCAGTTGGTGCATCTAAGGACCTCATATCATGTTGACTCAAAAGTAGGTCACGGCGACCTACTTTTTAAATTTTGCGGCCATTCTTTTTCAAAGTGATTTAGAGACATATTTTGAACAATTTAAGGCCTATGATCATCAAACTTTGTCAGTTGATGCATCTTGAGTCCTCAAAGTACGTCAACTAAAAAGTAGGTCACCTTGACCTACTTTTTGAATTTTATGGCTAATCTTTTTTAAAACAATTAAGGTCATTAATTCGAATACGGGGAGGCTTAGAATCATTAAATCTTGTAAGATGATGCATCTTGGGGCCATAAAACATATTTATTAAAAAGTAGGTTACAGTGACCTACTTTTTGAACTTTGCAGGCATTCGATTTCAAAGCTTTTTAGAGGCATAATTTGGACATTTTAAGTCCTATGATCATAAAACTTTGTAAGTTGATGCATCTTGGGTCCTCAAAAAAGGTCAACTGAAAAGTAGGTCACCGTGACCTACTTTTCAATTTGTATGACTATAATTAAATATTTCAGGTACTAATTGGTTTAGAATCATCAAACTTTGTCAGTTGATGCATCTTGGGTCTTCAGAGTAGGTCGACTAAAAAGTAGGTCACAGTGACCTACTTTTGAAAATTTATGGTGTTAATTAAATATTTAGGGTACTAATTGGCTTAGAATCATCAAACTTTGTCAGTTGATGCATCTTGGGTCTTCAGAGTAGGTCGACTAAAAAGTAGGTCACCGTGACCTACTTTTGAAAATTTATGGCTTTAATTAAATATTTCGGGTACTAATTGGCTTAGAATCATCAAACTTTGTCAGTTTATGCGTCTTGGGTCCTCGGAGTACAACAACTGAAAAGTTAGTCAAGGTGACCTACTTTGAAATTTTATGGCTGTATTTAATATTTTCAGGAATTATTTGGCTTAGAATCATCAAACTTTGTCAGTTGATGCATCTTTGGTCCTCGGAGTAGGTTGACTGAAAAGTAGGTCACTGTGACCTACTTTTGAAAATTTATGGCTGTAATTAAATATTTTGGGTACTTATTGGCTAGAATCATCAGACTTTGTCAGTCGATGTATCTTTGGTCCTCGGAGTACACCAACTGAAAAGTAGGTCACAGTGACCTACTTTTGAAAATTTATGGCTTTAATTAAATATTACAGGTACTAATTGGCTTAGAATCATCAAACTTTGTCAGTTGATGCATCTTGGGTCCTTGGAGTAAAACAATTGAAAAGTAGGTCACTTTGACCTACTTATAAAATTTTATGGTTATAATTTTAAAAAATATTTTAGGTATTAATTGGCTTAGAATCATCAAACTTAGTTGATGGGTCCTCAGAGAATGACAAGTGATAAGTAGGTCACCATGACCAACTCTCAGGTACTAATTGGCTTAGAATCATCTTGGGTTCTCAGAGTGTGAATTGGAATTTCAAGGGTTTGTCTAAATATACAGGATACTTCGAGGCTTCAAATAGAAGTGATAGGTTGTACAGTTTATCAGAAGAGCGATTCAAGGCCCATGGGCCTCTTGTTTATTTCTCTTTTCTTTCCTTTTTTCTAAAATTTCTTGGGGGGGGGGCATATTTCCTTCTTGTTTTGCGATGGTTAAGTTTTGTGAAATCAATCTTGATTATGGAGCTTAGGGAGTGTAACGCATTCGTTCTTTTGATCACATTTCCCTTTCGCTCAGCTTCCTCCATGGTTAAATTTTCAAATGCGGAGAACCCTGTGTAACGTGTAGAATTGTGTGCATGAAGGATCGTTCCTGTAATGGGTTTAACCGTGCATTAATCATGTGAAATCAATGGTGTAACGTGATTGTTTGTAAATGTTGTCAACAATAATGTTGCAGCCACTGTAATTGTTAGACAGTTGAGATTGTTGTGTTGTAGATCTGGTACAAGAATGGAGGAGATACGACGAAACCTTTCCGACCAGAATTGGAGGACAGTTACCTCCCAGAGGAATATTCAGCCAGATCGGGCATGAGGAGGGTTTGGAATCTTTTTATCTACTTATTTAATTATTTTTATTAAAAACTTCCAAGCAGTTTTTTTTTTTTACGTGAGAAATTAAAGTTGATTATGCACTGACATAACTTTTCTCTTTCTAAATGCCTTTTTTTTTGGTAGTTGTTTGCCCAGTGCTGGAACAATAAACCTGATGTTCGACCAACATTCAGACAAACTCTGGACAGGCTGAATGAAATTTACCCTGTCAAGGGGGAGCTGATAGACAACCTGGTTAACATGGTATGTTGTGAATCACATCATTTACAATGCTCAGACAAAGGTCTGTGTTCCCAATACTGATTCATCAGTTTGTCTCTACAGGGAGCAAACACTTAAAACTTAATGCCAAATACATCAATAATCCTTTTTCAAGTAAAAAATATAGTGTATGTAAAGTAAATCCTAAAAAGGATGATTTAAGTGATATGTAGGTATATTTTCTTACAGCTGGAGAAGTACTCCAGTAATTTAGAAGCTATTGTGGCAGAAAGGACAAGGGAATTAGTGGCAGAAAAGGCAAGGACAGAAGAACTTATCAGTCAAATGTTGCCAAAGAAAGTAGCAGAGGATCTCAAACATGGTAAAACTGTGGAGCCTGAAGCATTTGAATGTGTCACCATATATTTCAGGTAAATTAATTCCCATCACTAACAAGTTAAGCAAAGTAAGGAGATGGAATAATCTAATGGAAGCTCTTAGTGCATCTGTATGATGATCTTTTGTGTCTGCATTTACAGAAGTGGTAACTAAATGTTTAGCTCTACTGACCAGAGACCAGAAGAGCTGATGCAATAGTACATATATGGCAAGAAATTGGTACTATGTTTTTAGGTCATACTTTTGTACCCTAGGGTACATCCCCTACTAAAGTATAACCTAAAAACGCAGTACCAATTTCTTGCCATATCTACAATAGTAAGGTGTCCATCATCCATCTATTCGTCTGTCTGTCTGTAAACAATTTTTTGAATGAAAAATGCTACTCCTCCTACAGTTTTGGTCAAATTTCAATATCACTTGGTACATAAGTAGACTACACTGATACATAATTTTATATGTTGGTTTTTTATTTCGACGAGCGGGTAAATCTAAAAATAAAAAAATGCTGGCATAATTTCAAAACTAGCAACTTTTAATCGACAGTGTTTCAACATCGAGTGTAGAAATCAATATCATTTATTTCCTGCTTCTTTCTCTTCTCTTGTATCTACATTTGGATGATTCGTGTAATGAAGTGACGGCATCCTGAAAACCAGACTTATGTTAAACTTGCAGAACCCAACATTTTTAGTGATGCATTTTGTCAATTGCTTACTTAACACAACTATAATCTAAGTGTTTCAGCACTATAAATATTGCTTATGATTTTATTAAACATCGTAAAATTTATCAGTCTTTGGTTTACCCACACTAAATGAAATCTGCGAATCTTGCTGACATCCAAGTTTCCAGGTTTAGGGAACCGTCTTTGATAGCGTTATTGATCAAGTTCTAGCATGGAAAAATCTTCAGAAACTCCCACTTTGTATTTCCTTGTGAATTTGCACTGAAATCAATGCCATCATGACTTAACTTTTTCTTGACACCCTATCCTGTTGACGGCCATATTTGCGATTTTTAACAAGGCCAATAGTCTGGATCATCTTGATGTTTGTCAAACGTTTTACTGATTTCTAAAATGCAGTCAAAATGCAGTCAGGAATTCCGGATATTTTTTGGCACCTCGCGAGCGCATGAGACAATTTTTATTTTATTCATTCGAGGATAAAAATGGGTAATGCACATTGTTGAATGAGATGGGAGCGGGTCTGAGAACCAAGTTGTTAATTTTTTTAGGCCTAAGATTTATATGAAAAATTTTAAAAAATCTGACATTTTTCAACCTCGGTATAATTTCCTGATCGATCGGGATTGATGTAGGACATATTAACTACCAATATTTGGTATTTTTACCCAAGAGAAAAATTTCCCCTGAATATTCTATTTTCCCTTTTTGATGAGTAAAAAATTCCCTTAAAATAAAAAGCTCAAATAATTTATTTTCTTCTTAAAAACTGGAAATTTAAATATGTGAAAGAAAAATTTTCATTAGGTGTATCTCTGAAATAGATATGTACCGGGTAGTTATACTTTGCTTTTTTATGCACACTAAATGGTCATAAAAATGCTTAAAATCAATTTCAGGGCTCTGCCCTGCACCCACTGGGGCCTGGTGCAAACCCTGGACTGATTTTCCCAATTTCTTCAGAAAGGGTAGTTCCCCCCAAAACCTAGATTAATCCCTGATTTGTACATGTATGTCATTGTTAGCATGTGCTCGGATTCATCCTCCAAACCTTTGCTAATTTGGATTTAGATTTCACATTTTTATCTTAAGGCAGATGTTAAATCGTTTTAGTTATTTAAAGACAATGTTAATTTTTCTTGTGATTTACTCATTTTCACTAGCATACAGCTGTTTAAAAGTGCCGTCAATATGTGATTGAGAGAATGAGATATCCCTCTGTAATTTATTCTTTTTATAAAAACACGCAATACACATTAGGTGAAAATATATCTACTGACACCTTAGCATCTACCTGTATGATGTCACCAACTGTGACAACAACTGGCCCGGAGGATTGCAGTATAACTGTTATTAAAACAACTTATTATCAGCTCAGGGAACTGATAATTTACTTCAAAATAAGCAATAATTCAATGTAAGTGATTTCAATTTAACTGATATTTTATTGCAAAGATAACAAGAAACTGAGACTGGGTTTAGTTTTTCTTCAAAATAAGCAATATTTCAAAATAAGCGATTTCAATATAAGTGGAGTAGGATGTAACACAAGTAGACTACATTAAGATAAATAATTATACCCCTGCTCCGAGGGAGAGGGGAGTATACTGTTTTATCCTTGTGTGTCTGTCCGTAACAAATTTTCATTGCAGTTATCTCAGCAACTGTTCACTGATGATACATGAAATTTTTTTGGCACACTCTTTGTTTAAGCATGCCATATGGTGGGATTCATTTTTGTACAAATCCGATGTCAACTTCCTGTTTATCCACATATCTGACCGTACCAAATTTCTATCAGTTTTTTCAGCAACTATTCATTGCTGATGCTTGAAATTTTAGCACACTCTTTGTCTAGGCATGCTATATATATGGTGGGATTCATTTTTGTACAAATCCAATGTCAACTTCCTGTTTATCCCTGTGTCTGTCCAAACCAAATTTCTGTCAGTTTTCTCAGCATCTATTCATTGCTGATGCTTGAAATTTTAGCATAATCTTTGTTTGGTGGGATTCATGAGAGTGTATATTCACATCGTAGCAGGGGTATTACTAGTGAGCATTGGCTCACAGACTTCTTGTCCTTTATCTTGGTTTTTTTTATTTCAATGAATGGTATTGCTTTGGTTACTAAAAATAGAAAATTTTGTGAAATTTCTTCAAAATGCTACTTGTACTATAGTTTTTGTCCAATTGCAGTTAAACTTGACTCAGAAAAAGACAGAACCAAGGATCATTATTTATTGCTATTGCCATAGATTCAAGTCAACCTTTGTTATGCCCCGCCATGAATATGGCCGGGGCATACTGTAAACCAACTTTTATTCGCGACGACTTCATTTCGCGATTTACCGGGGATAAACTAGTTCGCGGCGATTAATTTTCGCGATCAAGCCTTTTTTTGAGCTGTTGTTAATAGAAAGAGAGACTTTAAGAACCGGTGTAGCATAATATTTTGATACCGCGATATATTGAACCCGGGTTCAATATATCGCATAATATTTTGAACCCGGGTTCATTTTTTCGCTGCGATATAATGAACCCCCTTATAAAATATTGAACCCGGTGGGTTCCTTCCATCCTTCCGTCGCGCTTTGCATTTAGCTCGGTTCAAAGCTCATTTTCAAAGAAACTATCAAAGATATTTTCATCAAACTTCATATGCTGATAGATATTGATGAGAGCTATGCAACTGCATCAATATTTTTTACTTTGACCTTTCCATTGACCTTGACCTCAACTGCATCAACATTTTTTGACCTTGACCTTTCATTTGACCTTGACCCACTTTCATCAATTGGTGTTTAACTTCGTTTAAAAGAAACCATTCATAATATTTCATCAAACTTCATACGCTAATACATACTGATGTAAGCTTTTCAACTGCATCAACATTTTTTGACCTTGATTTTTTCTTTGACCTTAAGGGAGCCGACTGGGGTTTTATTGTGTGAAAACTACTATAGAGAAACTCTTTAATTTTATACCATATGTACCTTACATTGACTTCAGTATGCATGCCAAGTTTAGTAAAAATCTACCGTCCGGTTATTTTTAGGGACCATCTCAAAATACAGGTATATTTACTATAGGATTATATAGGAAAATACTATTTTTTCGAACTTCGTAGCAAATTATACAAATGCTACTATAGACTTTTTGCTCAAATTATATTATTTGATGGGTAATACTATATTGTACATTTTATGCAAGAAACACAAAATTCTACCGTCTGGTTTCCAGAGGGGGCATCTCAAAATGTCAAAATTCATTATATTTTCCTGTTTTTATGGAGTACAACAAAACATGATAGATACAACAGATTTACATAAAATATAATAAAAATGATTGTGATATTCTCAATTTCCAGTGTTTAAAATTTCAAGAGCATCTGTTTTATACTTTTTATTTTATGACATAATTAATGACCCGCTTAAAGAACTTTGGTTTTTCATTACGTCAAAAACACACTATTACGACATCTATCTACCCATCATTTGAAAAAATAGTTTAAAAAATCAGTTATTTAAAAAAGTAATTAGATTTTTTAACCTGCGATTTCCTAAATTTGTTAGTTTTTATAAATTATGTAAAAATAGTTGCTTTAAAAGAGAAAATACGCTTTATTTTACTATGCTGCGCGAAGTATTGCGCAATGAAAACCCCAGTTGGCCCCCTTAACTTCATTTATTTTAAATTAGTGTTTAGCTCAGTTTTAAATAAACCATTCTAAATATTTTTATTAAACTTAATATGCTGATACGTATATATGAGAGCTATTCAACTGCATCAAAAATGTTTGACCTTGAACTTTCCTGTGACCTTGACCTCACTTTTCTTAAATTTGAATTTTGCTTAGTTTTAAAAAAAAACATTTAAGATATATTTATGTAAGCTTATGCACTTATACATAATTTGGTGAGAATTTATCATCTATATCCAACTTCTTAGATTTCAATTTTAAAGAAGCTATTCAAGATATTCTCATCAAATTTCATACACTAATACAAATTTTCATGTTGTATCACTAATAAACCCTGGGCAGGGCATTCATGTCCTATGGACATATTTCTAGTTAATTAAGTAAAAACCAGTAGAGCTACAGTCTCATCAGAGACTTCCGTATTTTGATGTCTCAGAAAGTGCTATTGTTTGCTTTTGTTTTTCAGTGACTTGGTAGGATTTACAGCTATTGCCCGTGACAGCACACCATTCCAGGTAGTCACGCTTCTCAATGATCTCTATACATGTTTTGATGCTATATTGGACCACTATGATGTGTACAAAGTGGAGACCATTGGTGATGCATGTAAGTTCCCAACAATGACTTTCTTTACAATTTGAAGATTTTTTCTGATTTTTAATACATGTATGTTAATTCTATTTGATAAGACAAACATTAGAAAGTGAGTTTGATGTGTGCCTTCTCTTAATTTGAACAAATTGATATTTCTGTGGAGGTCAGTAACAAAACTAATAACTGACCAAAAATACAGTTGTTATGTTATGTTATACAGTTGTGTATGAGTTGTGACCTGAATATTACAGACTGTAGTTTTAGGGATATTCAAGCAAAGTGTATTAGAGGCTGGGACAACAAACTGAATTTTTAATCGAACTTGTTTGTGGATTTTTGTAGATATGGTTGTCAGTGGACTACCAATCAGAAATGGCAATCTTCACGCCGGGGAGATCGCTACAATGTCATTAGAGTTACTATCTGCTGTACTGACTTTTAAGATCAGGCATATGCCAGAGAAGTTCTTACAGCTACGATGTGGAATGCATTCAGGTTTGTAAGACTTGTCAGTTAACACAAACTGATTTGATATTTAGGTTTCCTTAATTACTCAGTCCATTGTCATATGTTGGACGTAAATTTTTGAACATTTTCAGCTCTTGAACCACAGAACAAATTTCCACTAAATTTGGCAGATAACATTAACAGGTGAAGGGGTACAAAAATTGTGAATTTCATGGTACTTGGGACCTTAGGGGTGGGGCTAAAACCATCAACATTAGTGCTATCTTTAAGAATCTTAAATCTTGGATGTCAAGCAGTCAAACTGTTGTGATTATTGTAATAAGGATTGAGCCCTCTACCAAAATTGGGAAAGTCATGGCTCCAGGATCAGGAGTTCTGGAGTTAGGGTGGGGCTCTAATAGTCATATTGTGAAAGTGGATATATTCTTTAAAAATATTCTCCTCTACTACCCCTGTATTTTAGCAGATAAACTACATGGTACATGGTTATGATGAGCAAGAGTGCCTCTTCCAAAATTGTGAAATTTGTGGCCCCAGGGTCATTGATTTGGGAGGAGGAGGGGGTGGGGCTCTATTGATTACAAAGTGAAAATGCATTATTTCTTTTGAAAATCTTCTTTGCTCCTGGGAATTAAGTAAAAAAACTAATGGATAGTTATGATAAGCAAGTGTGCCTCTTCCAAAATTGTGAATTTCATGGCCCCTGGGTCAGGGTTTCTGTTGTTAGGATGGGCTTCTATTGATTACATAGTGAAAAGGCATTATTTCTTTGAAAATCTTCTTTTCTGCCCCTGTGTATTAAAGCTGAACACGATTCATAAAATGAATTTGTCTGCCATATTTGATTATTCACTTGCTATATCTGAGGGCCCCTATATGAGCCGCTCACTTAGCCACTGTTCAGTACAATCAATTTTCACTGGTGTAGATGGACACATGCTACACAGCACTCGGTAGCGACAAAATATAAATTTGTACTTTAAATGCAGGAGAGTAAGACACCGAAGAAACTTGCAACAGTTGCACAGGTTAGTGCAGTATACAAACAAACACAAATACATGTAACTGCAAAAAAATAAAGGCGATGCAAGATAACCAGCACGAACGTGTCGCCATTCCACGCCAATACCCTTGACAATAAAGCAGTCAGGTGTAAGAATGCGAAGGCTATGTCTCTGTGCTGATATCGTAGATAGTGTAATCAAATATGGCGTATGCCTATTTACAAGTTGTGTTCAGCTTTAAGCAGACAAAATAAATCAGTGATGATTCTGTTCTGATATTTAGCGGAATTCAGCTAATTTGAATCTAAGAATCCAATATTTATGTGTGTCACTAATTTGAATCTAAGAATCCAATATTTACGAGTGTTTTCCGATATTTCAGTACTTTCAAATTTTGCAGCGATCTGATTCCATTTTCTGTCCAGGTAAAAAATTCAAATTGTTTCATGCCTGGGTTGGGGCGGTATTTATCAACATCATATATATCACCATTATAAACTATTTTTAAAAGCAGGTCATATAGGTTACATTCAAAGTCATGAGGTCAGAAATACTTGTACTTAATCCGTAACTCTCAAAGTTTTTAAGATATAAGGTTGGACAGACAGATGCTTGTCAAAGTGATTCCAAATTGTTGTCCTGCTTTATACAGTCAACGTAAAAGTCATCTTGAGAACTTGGACCATTAGTCTAATTGATATGATTTTGATTTAAATTTTTCTATACAGTTGTTATCTCGAACTCAATGGGGCCAAGAAAAAACTTAGAGATATCCAAGGATTTGAGATATCAAGTGTAAAATACTTAAAAACTAAGTGGTAGGGACTTACAAATCACTTTAACACATCCATGGTGGACATATCAGTGTTTGAGATACTCAAGTTCAACTGTATATTAAATTGCCCAAAAGAGAAATGTTCCTGTGGTAAGCGTTGTGACTTTTTTATAATTTCAGGGCCGTGTGTTGCTGGAGTGGTCGGGCTGAAGATGCCTAGGTATTGTCTGTTTGGAGACACAGTTAACACAGCATCAAGAATGGAGTCCAGCTCAGTAGGTGAGTGTGTCAATTAGGTTGGAATCTTTTTATTTGTAATTGTTGTGGGGCCAATTTTCTAGGATTATGTAAAGTTTACATATTTATTGAGATGTAATATTGTAGGCAAATGTCATATTTCAAAAGACATCTCCTATATTCCAGTTATATTTCACAGGTAAATTTTGGGGTAAGAAATACCCTTGAAATCTGGACCCCCCCCCCCCCCCCCAAAAAAAACAAACAAACAAAAAAACACAAGTCACAATAGTGATATTTGACTCAGTCTTGGCAGAAGTATTTATTTAGTTTTCAAGAATTTAAACATAGTAAATAATGGAAATTTTTAGCTCAACTGGTCAGACCAGAAGAGCTTATGCTATAGAAAGGTGTCCATCTGTCTGTCTGTAAACAATAAAGAATGCTACTCCTACAGTTTTGGTTGATTTTTGATATAACACAGCCTGCAAGTAGACTAGACTGAGATACATAATTCTGTTTATCATAAAATTCTTTCAGAAGGCTACTCCTCCTACAGTTTTAGTCTTGTTGCCATAAATCTTGCCAAAAAGAGAATAAAGCAAGGATCATTATTCTGTATATTGCTGTTGCAAAGTTTCAAGTCTAATTGCTACTGTTCTTCTGTTTTAAGTACAAACCTATAGAGCTATAGTTTCATCATAGACCCCTTTTTTTTTGCTCACCTGAGCTGAAACTCAAGTGAGCTTTTCTGATCACATTATTAGTCAAATTAATACAGAGGTATTTTCAGGTAGTGTAGATTTAAGTTTGTTTAAACCATGACCCCGGGGGTAGGGTGGGGCCAAAACAGTGGGTCAAAGTTTTACATAGGAATATATAGGTCTAATGGTTAAGGGGTATTTGAGTAAAACACATTAAAGACTTCAAATAGTGGAATGACCTGATAGCCCTTGGAATGGACTAGCCAAACCAAAGGATATATAAGCAAAGCTTTGGGAAAGTCAGGTATTTAGAAGCTAGTTGAAGAAGTTGAATGTTGAATCAACAATAAAGAATTTACGGGTAAGAGCAAAATAAAAGTTATAAGCACCAGTGACAAGTATCCTAGAGAATTGATGTTAATTTGTGGGTGTAGTAAATCTGAAGAAGATTTAGACACCCAGTTCTTATGTATCAATGGAAACCAAGGGGAGAAACATGTTGCAAGTAGAACCTTACCCAGTCACCATCTCTAGATAAGAGAAAAGTACTGAGTGATTTACCCTCAGACATAGCTGTCTTAATAATCATTCCAATCATTAACTCAGACAGAGTAAAAGGAAAACCTATATATCCCTTGTAAGAACCTGATCATACACTGTACATGTTACATAGGAAATATCTTCTCAAGAACAACTAAGCCATTATTAGTAATACATTATTTATTATTATTTATACAGAAGCAACCTTAGGTATTGTAGAATCAAGTTTGTTCAAATTATGACACCCAGGGGTTGGGGGCACATCAGAGGGTCAAAGTTTTGCATAAGAATATATAGGGATCATCTTGAAGAAATCTGCTGCTCAAGAACATCGAGGCCATGATTAGTCATATTATTATAGAAGCATCCTCAGGTAGTGTAGATTCAGATTTGTTCAAATTTAGGGTGGGGCCATAGTGAGCAATCAGAGTTTTACATAGGAATACATAGGGGAAATTTTTTTAAAATTCTTCTGTTTATGAACAGCAAAGCAATGATTTGTAATATTGATGTGAAAGCATCCTGAGGTAGTGTAAATTGTAGCCCTCCTCCCCTCTTCTTTCAATACTGAACTGATTTCTGCTTCTTACTAGCCAATGTGCTGAGGTGAAAGATGTGGCCCATTGGTCTCTTGTTTGCATATAGGAGACAAATTTCATGCCATCTAATTATGAACAAAAAATGTTCTATGTGTAAATTTTGTGTCGCATCATCTAGTGTTTCAGTCCCAGTTGGGGGCTATGAAACTGTGATATTAAGGTGACTGTCAATCCTCAAGAGTCTCTTGTTTAATTGTTAATACTGGACAAATGTATAGATCTTCATAAAGTATCTAGTACCTTTGGTTTAGAGGTACATGACAGAAGTATCAAATTCATTTTACCCCTTGGCAATAGAGGCTTGTACCTGGTGATATTTTTCTTGTTTGTTAGCTCTGAGAGCCCACATGAGTGAGAGTACAGCAGCCATCTTGGAGGAGTTGGGAGGATATCATCTAGAGTGCCGAGGAGAAAGAGAAGTCAAGGTACGACTCATTTCCTCTACAAGCAGAAAAAAAATTTTCAGTATATAAATTTTTCCTACTTAAGAATGTTGTGTTTTTGAACCTTAAGTCCAAGAGTAAAGTATTGTTTGAATTTCATCACAGGGAAAAGGAATAATGAAAACCTACTGGTTAAATGGGAAAGATGGATTTGATAAAGCCTTACCAGGGAGAGAGTTGGCAGTCTCACTATCACAGCATGAGTTCAAGTAGACTTGTCTGTGGATATAAATACATTACATCACATGGGAATATGATGTAACATGTATGGGAACAGTATTAACTTCTGACTGAATTAACCAAAATATTTAGTTGGCAGCAAAAAAGTTCTCCTGATAAGCATAAAGAGAAGATGGCCATTTGGAGAGGATTAAGGGAAAGATTACTTGTTTTATTTAGAAAAAAACTAACCTGTGGTTATAATTGGTCAAAAGGCCTAGCTGTTAAAATCAATGATCAAAGGTAAAGTAAACAAGTTTAGAGTGGAACCATCATAACTTAACCTGACTTTCCTGTACTCTACAGCTTTACCTTAAAGCAAATATTTGAAATATCAAGCAATTATTGAATCTTTAGATAGGACTGAAACAATACATCCACGTAATGATACTTGATCACATATAATAGACAACTTTCACATTCTTAAGAGATCTCTCTTTGTTGGTATAACAAGCATCCTTCTTACTTTATTAATTTTCAACAGTGAAGTACTGTAATATATTATTTTAAACTTTCTCCTTCCTTAAGAAATATTTGTTGGAATTGCTGCAAGTGGGGGGGGGGGAACTTTTTTTTCTTCCAAATTGAAATTGAACTTGAATGAAAACTGGTGATAAAAATCTCAATAAAAAGTAAACACATTGTTTTCAAACTTTTTGTAAAAAGTACAATGTATCTCCAATCAAGCCAGAAACCCTGTTTTTGCTTAGATCTGACACCAATTGTGTTTTGGCAGTGCATGTAATAACAGATCAAGAATTAACTAAATAAACTTAGAGCGTTCGAAGGAATGCATGTGTCGCCTGCTTTGTAGCTTCATTAAAGATATAAATAAATTTAAGAGTGGTCAGTTTTTTTTTTTACTATAAGCATGATAGACTGATAGTTCAGGGCTATTCCAGGAAAAAATGTATGGGGGGGTTGGAAGGCACTTTTATTTTTACCCCACCACCCATACAGTTTTAATTACCTTCTCCCCCACCCCCCATAAAATTAAAAATGCTTTTGATACAACCACCCATCTAATTTTTTTTTAAATTGTCTTATAGTCAAATATATGTAAAATAAAATTTTATGTTGAATACTGTAATTTATCTGACTTAGTATGAGTTGTTGGCTTTTGGCCTCTATCCAAAGCTACAGCTTAATAAAATGTGCTCCTTTAGGTCTATAATACTCAACACTAAAAGCTTAAATGATAGTAATTTGTATATATGTTTCTAGATGATGCATGACATTGTAATCTGTAAAGTTCAAGTTGTGATAAAACTAATATAGTAGACATGACATTCCTACAATTATTTAAAATATATGTTGTGAATTATAACATATCATTGGTAGTTATTCTTTCACCTTGTTCATGATAATTAACAAAATGATTCCAATTTCTTTTTTTTTTTGGGGGGGGGGGGGGGTTGAAGGGATGAACACATTACAGTTGACACTTAACAGGTTAGGGACTAGTATGTAGCTGAAATAATACTTTGTTTTAACCCATATCTCATCTTCCTTTTACTCTGTATGTGGTGTAAAGTAAACTATTTGACTTGCAACTTCATAGCCATGCTCTACCTGCTCTAAAATGTTCATTATCAGATATGTTTTTCTTTTCTACTTTCGGTTTAAAATAAAACAATCTTTCTGAGTGTTTCAAATATCATTTAATTTAGCAATGTAATCATGTTTGATTAAACTAGCGAAAAGAAACTGAAGCACGGAGTCCAAAGCACATACTGTCACATGCTTTTATAGATATCTGCCCTTGTTTCCGGTTTGTTCGATACTACTTTCACTTTCAATGTATACACACTTTTTTACCACCGTTTAGGGCGAGTGTTTTATTTAAAAAAATGTATATATCGATATTTACTGATTTATACAGAAGTACTAAACAGTTGATTATTTGTGAGGGTAAATACAACCACCCATCTAAAAATATATCGGATGAGGACAACCACCCATACAAATTTAATTGCTCCACCCCCCACTACCCATAAAAAAATTTATGAAGTGCCGTCCAACCCTCCCATACATTTTTTCCTGGAATAGCCCTCATGCATTTGCCTGCAAAGAAAATATGGTACCATAACCCTCAAATGAGTAATTAAAATGCAATTATTAGAAATAACTGTCATTTTATTAATAAGTGTTTTCAACAATCTTCCAAAGAGATTTCAGTCTGTCTTTTAACTGCAATTGTCAGTCTACACTATCCATTGTTGAATACCGATCCCGATGTATTTTTATGGTATTTAAATATGTTTGTGTGGTAACTGAATAGCATACAGTTTCAAAAGCACTTTTTCGTCAGCTTAACCTGTTTCCAATAATCATTCCAAAGAGATTTTAGTCTATATTTACTGCAATTCTCAGTCTACATGATCCACTATGGAATACCGATCGCGATGTATTTTCATGGTATTTAAATATAAATTTGTATGGTAACTGAATATCTTACTGTTTCAAAGTACACTATCATGAGCTCATAAACATGTATAAATGCTAATTATCTAAACCCTGCCTCTTAAAATTCAAAAGTCATAAGTTTAAACTGCCCGAGATATTTTTTGCAAAGTACGTCCAAGGTCAAGGTCAAGTGGATTTTAATGCTGGTATTTTTTATATCGTCTTGTGGCAAACAGTGCACATGCTAAATAGCATAGACTTGCCTCTTAAATGTCAAAAATGTGCTGTATATATTTTGAAAAGTAGTCAAGCTCAGAGATCACAAGGTCGGTAACCATGGTAATTTACAAAAGCCATAGTGCCAAGCATTATATGTGCAAAATATCAAATCCATACCTCTTACAATTCTTGAGATATAGGGTGTGACAGACAGACAGCTAGACAGACAGATGCTGGGTAAAGTGTTCCCTTGGTGCCACTCTGCTCTGCAGGCAACACAAAAATGACTTTCAACTTTATCATTGCCCAATGTTATTTTGGTCCAACCTATCAATTATCTTCATCACATAAGTGTTTGAATCTCCTGTGTATAAACACAGAATACAAGCAATGCATTAATGTAGACATGAATTAATCTTGAAAAGGATGTCTTTACTTACCTTTAAAAAGTGACTTGATTTGCTCTAAAATACAGCCAGAATGAAGAATTTGGCATCCTTTTTATGCCCTGCCATGAATATGGCCTGGGCATATAGTGTATGTCATGTCCGTCTTCTGTCCTTCCATCCTTCCGTCTGTCCTTCCGTTGTGCTTTGTGTTTAGCTCAGTCCAAAGCTCAGTTTCAAAGAAACAATCCAAAATATTTTCATCAAACTTCATATGCTGATAGATATTGATGAGAACTTGCATCAACATTTTTTTTAACCTTTCCTTTGACCTTGACCTCACTTATATTAGTGTTTAGCTCAGTTTTAAAGATACCGTTTAAGATAGTTTAATCAAACTTCACGTTGTTATATACTGATGAGAGCTGTTCAACTGCATCAACATTTTTTGACCTTGACCTTTCCTTTGACCTTGACCTCACTTTTCTTAAATTAGTGTTTAGCTCAGTTTTAAAGAAACCATTCAAGATATTTTTATCAAACTTCATGTGCTGATACATACTGATAAGAGCTATTCAACTGCATCAACATTTTTGTCCTTGACCTTTCCTTTGACCCTGACCTCACTTTTCTTAAATTAGTGTTTAGCTCAGTTTTAAAGAAATCATTCAGGATAGTGTTATCAAACTTCATATGCTGATACATACTAATGGACTTTAGCGAGAAGCACTGACTTTTACAGTCGACGACTTACTTTGACATTTAAACCTGCTTTATGTACGGAGGTATGGAATTGATAATAAATAAGAAAACCTTAATAGTTGGTTATAGGTATTTTGTTTAGGGCACTTCATGATTAACTGGTATGCAATCAACGCAAGTGATGATGGGAGGCAGAATTACGTAGCTTTATTTATTTATCGTGAGGTTTAGTATCTCCTTTCAATCTCATTTTTTGAAGGAATCAAATAAGGAAGAAAAAACATTCCGGAAGGAAAACTAAGCAAAAGTTGGTCAGTGTGGGAAGGGAGGGGGTTGAGGGTAGGATAGTTGCCGTTCCCTTCCTAGACAACGTAATATGTGCTCTGAAATGGACCATTATTATCGTTTAATTAACTGTTAAGCTTAATATTTATATCGCAAAAGAGCTTCCATATACTGTCCTAGTGTAAAAGTAAGCCGTCTTTTATAAAAGTCAGCGCTTCTCGGAAAAGTCCAATGAGAGCTATTGAACTGCATCAACATTTTTGATCTTGACCTTTTCTTTGACCTTGACTTCATTTATTTTAAATTAGTGTTTAGCTCAGTTTTAAATAAACCATTCAAAATATTTTTATCAAACTATGCTGATACATATTTGTGAGAACTATTCAACTGCATCAAAAATGTTTGACTTTGAACTTTCCTGTGACCTTGACCTCACTTTTCTTAAATTTGCATTTTGCTTAGTTTTAAAGAAACCATTTAAGATATATCTATGTAAGCTCATGCACTTATACATAATTTGGTGAGAATTTATCATCGATATCCAACTTTTTAGATTTCAATTTTAAAGAAACTATTCAAGATATTCTCATCAAATTTCATACATCAACACAAATTTTCATGTTGCATTACTAATATACCCCCGGCGGGGCATTCATGTCCTATGGACATATTTCTAGTTTTTATATTACCTTCATAGGAGGCCGGCAGGAGGGGAAACTCTCCCAAACTTATCCCCTTTGTTGTTTTGAGACTTTGCCAGCAGCTAGAGAACTAGTTCAGGAACTGGGCTAGTAGGAATTAAAAATTACTTGCCCTGCAGGCTTTTATGGTGTTAAAGTTAGTGTCAAATCTGGTATGGGGCAACAAAGAAAACATGTACAAACAGATTTTATTTGTAAGTGTCCCATAAAGATCCAAGATTGACCCAGCAAAGGGAAATTACTCTTGCATGTAAATGTGAAAGTTGTCTATTTTAAAATGATTTTGATGTGTTTTCAATTAAGAAATACTAAACGTTTTTGTTCAGTAGAAAAATTGTTTTAATGTAAATGTAGATACAGTATATACTTAGTAAACCAGTAAGGATGATTCAATAGTCAGCTTATCTAATCGGATAATGTTAGGGTTATACTGATACAATGGTACTGTGTGTATTCCATACATGATGACAGCGGGCATTATTTAAACCTAGCATTGTTGATGAATTTTTACATACTTTGTACATGAATTTAAACATGATATTCTTGAGTTTTTTTGTACTTGAAGTGAGTCAGTTCCATTACAGTTATTGCATGCAAATATATAAAGACGTTGACAAGAACAATTCGAAAGCACTGCATGTATTTTATGTGCTATATCAGATCAGGTAGTTTAATTTTTGAAATATTATATAAATGATAAGAGAGTGAAAAAATATCATACAATGTAAATTTTTTTTTCATACCAATATCAATGTGTTAATTTATGTGAAAAAATATATATATATAATTTTGATTTGAAAAAAATATCCTTTTTTTTTTTTTTTTTAAATTTTTTTTTTCTCTCTCTGAAATTGGGTTGATAAATGCAGGGTTTTGGCTTGGAGAAAATTGTTGGATTTCAGGAAAAGTTGTCTTTTTTCAAGCCATCAGCATTTGCATGTATTGCAATTTTTTTTTTTACTCTACACATAGGTCACATTTAAAGGATGAGAATTCATAGAGAAATTGCCTTTGTGTGGAGACCTACAAAAATAATGCTTTGATAATTTCTGAACTTTTCTTTCATTTTCTTTTACAAAATGCATGAGTGCACATACTTGCTCCACCATCATTTTCTGTTTGTATAAATAACTGAGATGTCAAAAATGTTTTTTGAGATGTCAAAAATTATTCAAGTGATTAAAATCAAGGAAAAACAAGTAAATCTTTTTAGAATGGTAATATTATTAAAATAAATTTTAGACATTTTGTTTGAAAAGTGAAATGTTAATCAGCCACACTTTCGTGTTGCAAGAGACTTGTTTAGAATTCTACTTCATATGAAAATCGTGCTCAGCTCACTTTGTTTTAGATCTGGTGTGTATGGCTAGAGTTATTGAGGTTGCTAAACTGCATTTTACTTATACCTGTTACCATTTTTCCAGCGAGATCATTTATATTTGAATTGTCATAGCTTTAGTCAAGAATACAGAAAGTTACGGAGAAGGAGTTCTTGGCAGGCTAGGGAGAACAATGGACTAGCATTCAAAGAGGCAGTGTCATTTAGCAAGTGTCATAAATATTAACATTTGTCTGATTATTATTATCTGACAAAATATGCAAGTTAAACATTTTATCTAGGGGTGCTACTGAAGTTGTACATAACAAGTAGCAAAATATTCAAGATATTCAATTGACATGTGCCTTATATGATGTACAGGAACTTTTTATGACAAAGGTGTATGCAATTTTTTTATATTTAAGAAATGAACTGTACTTTTTTTTTAACTAACATATATAAAATGTACATGAATTTTTCCGAGTGTCTGTGCTGTATCTTAATTTGATGAATGATAAAGTAGGTGTAAAGCTCATCACCTTGTCCTGTGGTATTGATATTTTGTTACTTTGAAATTGATTAAATTTTTTACAAAGATGATAATTGCTATCATTTTTCCCTGAACGTTTTCTCTCAGAAGCAAAGTGTATCATCTAACATGTGTCTAGTTACAATACCAACACCTCCTTCAGAACCAAATCTTCCTGATAAGGGTTAATATGATAAAGATGTATTAAAGTGGAAGGCCTTACACCTAAACACTAGCACCAGATGTGCATTTTGACAAATTTTGTCTCTTCAGTGATACTCATGCCTTGGAAATCCGAAATATTTAATTTAAAAAACTTTATAGAGCTGAAAAAAGGAGTGCCAAAGACTACAGCCAATTACGTCAAAAGATCGGAGCTTTGCATGAGGGAGATAATCCTTAATTTTGAAATAATTTCTAAATTTTACCACAGCAATTAGATATTTATCCATATTTTCAAGCTAGTACTGAAGTACTTAGCTACTGGGCTGTAGAAACCCTTGGGGACTAACAGTCCACCTGCAGAGGTCTCGACCCAAGGGTCGTAATATAAATCATATACGATACCAATTTTGATGCACCAGATGAGCAAATCGATAAATTATGTCTCTTCGGTAATGTTCATGCCTAAACGTTGGAAATCCGAAATATTTAATTTTAAACACTTTTTTGAGCAGAATAAAGGAGTGCCAAAGACTGGAGCTAAATATGTCGAAGGATCAGAGTTATGCATAAGGGAGATTATCCTTGATTTTGAAGCCTATAGGCCTTTGTAAGAAGAGCCTTTTAAATTTGTGCAAGCTGGTGACTAGATTTCCTCCAACTTTATTTCATTAATTCTAAATGTTAAAAGAAACCAGGCGTGATAGAGTAAAATCAGGAAGGAACTAGAACCATTTACTGTCAATATAATAGAACCTTATTCTTGTATATTACTTTATGAATCATGGCAACCAATCACATGCTTGCTGCTAGGAGGTTCCCCAAATAGTGCTTTTAGTCTAAGCTCCTACCCAAAAAGATGTGTGCACCTTGTATACAAAATAGACTTGCTAACCTTGTATGCAGGCCTAAATCTGATGACTTGCTCGCCTATAAAAACCCCAGTATACATTTTTCATGTTGAAACAGGAAGGTGACTCCATCAAGTGTGTTGTAGTACATTATAGCATCTTGTTCTCTTAAGATTTCATAGTTCTTAATAAAAAAAAAAACTGTTTTGAAGTGACTTGGTGCAATTTCAGAAGTTAGTTGATGTTGTAAGAAATATACAAGGGTTTCCATAAAGTTCGTAGACAAATGCTATAATTTTCTTAATAATAACCACAGTGCAAAATGTGTACAATATTATTTGATATAGACAATGATATAGTAAATGTATAGAAATTAAAACAATTAATATATACACTATTTTACAAAAGTTTTAGGTGTAAATAGATTGGATATGCAAGCCACACGGCCCAGTCTGGTGTTAAGCTAGTTTCCTGATAATGTCAAAAATACAGATTTTGAATCACATATTCCTAGACATGCTATTTTTTTCTTTATTATGCCACACTGCTAAGTGTGTGCAATAATATTAACATATAGACTATAATTGAGTAAATTATCAAAATTCAAAACTATATACAATAATTTACGAGCATCATCAGTATAAACACTTTATATACACAGGCTGCAGAGCCCAGTCCAACTGTGCTAGATTTAATTATTACAACGTCCTGAATAGAGATTTCTTATTTTCATCATATAATAGTAGTTTTCAACTTCTTGTAGTGTCTCTCAATTTCTCGAATTGTACACACCATTGAAAAATCGTATTTACCAATTTCAAATCAATAAACTAAATACATTCCAATAATTTCCAGTTGTTTTAATAATTTCCTTTCAAACCATGTTAAAACATAATTTTATGATTGGATGCTGTTCCATGTGGATGGCAGACGTCTCTTTTTCTGTCAATTTTCAAAACGTATTTATCACGTTTTTTTCTTAATATTTTCACTATCTGTACAATAAGCGATACTAAAGATATCAGATGACAACAACCACTTTATTTAAGACACATTTAATTTTTATTAAGTATTGGATTCTTTTATAAAGAAAATAATCATTTTAATCGGAAAACTTTATTTCAAAGTTTATGACATTCTAATCCTGGGCCGTGCGCACAATCTGCGACCTTTAAAGACCGAATTTTACAAAAATAAGAAGTTTAAACCATTCTGACTTAGATTTTTATAACAAATATTTTGGCATACAATAAGTATATCTACGACCATTCAGTTTGACAAAAATGTCATTGTTCACAAAAATTTATGGACAACCCTCGTATATGGCCTTTTTTCATGTAATTAATGTTGAAAGCTAGTTGACATTGTAAAACTTTTTAATATGTAAATTTCAAAGACATTTAACAATGGCCTTACAGTAAATACAACAAATACATATAAAGTACATCTTTTTCATTAATTTCATTTTTTAAGTGGAAAAAAAATCACAGTTAGTTTGGAACCCTCTGAGTTTCTAGAATCTTCATGAATTCTACCACAGATCGTGACAGAGTATCCCTCGGATCCCCCTCGCTGGCTACCACTGCTTTTCGACCAAACTCTTTAGCCTGGAAAACAATTCATCAGATGTGCATTGTGTTCAACTCGTAATAAAATTTTGGTGGTAATACAAATTTAGGTTAATTTCAAAATTTCTTTGCTCATCAATATTGAAAAGACCTCAAGTTAAAAAATTTCTGTAATGATGGTTTGCAGGTAGGATTAAATATCTAGCAATGACAGTGATAAGGTATCTTCTAAAGCCTTATCTTTTATAGAACCTGTGTGCTGTTTCCAAAAGAATCAACATTTTATTTTTTTAAATCAGAACACAATTTTAGCCCATTGAACTAAGCTTTATATTGTATGAAAAGAAAAAAGTGAAATTACAATATTTTCCAAATACATAGTTTTATTAAATTGGAAAGTACATGTATAGATATGTCAATTTTAAAAATTAATCACATGGAGCATTCCTGTAAAAGATAACAGGATACATGATGTATCTTACCTTTTGTATATCAAACAGTATGAAGTATAACATGGCTAGAGCATGACAAACAAGTGCCAGATCCTGGGCTTTCCTGTTAGATTGGTGTTCTCTCATGTCGTATATTGCATTTAGCACCTGTATGGCCTCAGCTTCTTGAGCTTCATCTGTTCAGGAAAAAAAACAGTGTTATACAAGAGGCTCATGGGCCACAATACTCTCCCATGTCACACTGACCCTGCTGAGTTTTTTTCTTTTTTGAAGACTTTTAAAAGATTTTACAAGATTATTTCTTATACATGTATTCTGTATTCTTATGTAAAAATTTTATCTTCTATTTTGGCTGCGGCCACCCTAACCTCTGACCTGAATCTGCACTCCCTGGGGATGCTTGCTAATAATGGCCCTTCTATTTCTGAGAGATTTTTTTTTACTATTCTCCCTATACATTCCCATGTAAAACTTTGGTCCCTATTATGACCCCCCCCCCCCCCCCCCGACAGACAGATGCCAGACACTATTTGATAAGGAAAGCTCACTTGAGCCTTTGGCTTGATCAGGTTAGCCAAAAAAAGGTTCCAAGAGAGTAAGACATGTTTCAGCTTAAATTTTTTTACCAGGTACATATCAAAACTTATCATAAAAATTCTTTTCTTTTATAAAACAATATGAGTACATGTACCAGAATACAAATAGAATTTCTGAAGCTTATTGGATTAATTAAATTGAAATGTTTACTGGTTTTTTTTTTTCAAACAAAAAACAGAAATGGAAACGTTTTAAAAAAAAAAAAGCCGAACAAAGTCACAATGTATGAAAAAATAATAACTCTTTGTATCTTAAAAATTAACCTAATACCTAGTGAGTCTTCCTCCTCAATTTGTTCTGGGATTAGTGGCCCGATTCCCTGCTGGGCGGCCGGCGTTTTAGTTCTCACTTGAACAATCTTCATTAAGTGATTATACCAAATGTTTGAAACCTAAAGAAGAATTCAACATCACAATGTTATAATGTGCATGTATGTTACAGAATATCATATAAAACTAGGGCTACATTCTTATAAAAATGACAGTGAAAATTCTGTTGGTGAAAATTTGAAAGGAAAATGAAATCATCATACTTCACTGTACAAAGAATCTGCAACGTCCATGCGTCCTTGACGGAAGAAAACATTAGCCATGTGAAAGTAGCCACCAGAAGTCCGAATGTCTCCTGTCCCAAATTCTTCAGAAGAGTGGTAGATCTGATAAAAACAACACATTGAGATTAGTGAAGTTAGTCTGCATTTGATTGACTATTGCTCAGTACTGAACATATAAAAATATAGCAATTTGCTTGATAAATCAGCTAAAAATAAAACATGATGTGTCAGTAAAACACATATGCCTCCAAACATAGTCGAGTTGTGATGTGAATAATAGTTTCTGGCTTTTCTATTTACAGTATGTGATTAAATGACATTTTAGTGGACAGAGAGTATTTATATAGGTGTAGAGTGTATATACGTTGATCTTGGACAAACAAACACACGGTCTCTGATCTGAGTACATTTGAAAAGGTATTAAGAGTTGAATATGCATGTCAGACTTGAAGATTTTACCTACTACAATTCAAGTTAGAGCCATTGAATAATAAAGATTCGCAGACAGACAGACCGACGGAATACAGAGAGGACAATATCTTTGATCTTTGGAGGTATAAAAATGAAATATTCCATAACAGTTGAGAAAATAACTAAATACTTTGTTATGTATGTAAAAAAAACTGAGTCATTAATTTACTTTTCTGTGGTCCAATAAATAAAAAAGTCAGCCATGCATGCATAAATGTTTTATTTGGTCATTGAATTGAATTTAAATTAAATTGCCCTCCCTTAACAGATGTTTTCCATAGTTTTCTATCAATCTGTCTGTAAGATTTTACTTTAATGCAGTCACCTTCCTGTTTAAGAAAGACTTCTCTTGCAGTAGATTTTGTAAATTCAATGTGGAAAATTTAAGCAAATTCACATTTAACAACTTTACTCATCATTGTATGCAAAAGATATAAGTTTATGATATAAAATCTGAGTCATTTTAATTTAATAAGTTCTGTTTGTCAACATATTTCACTTAATTAAAACATCTGACTGCCCAAGGCTGAATTTACAAAAAGAAGTATATTGTTGAATTGCCTCCAAAATGTGCAAAGTGGACCTATTTTATGACTCTCCTGAAGATAAACCTGTCAAGTTTTCCTTATGAACTTATGCAGAACAAACATATATTATTGTCAAGATTGTGGTACACTACAACAGATTTACTGTACATACATATTTTTCTTTGTTAATGAAGTAAAAAGGCTACAAATGACGTACATCATCAGCGAGCTGTCGCAGTGCCTCCTCGTATTCACCTTTGGCAGCGTACAATAGTCCCAAATTTCTGTACAACTTGGATTTTATTGCATTTGAACATTCTGGTGTTTTAAGTACAGTCCACTGGGCCTGGGCGAGATATTCTTCTGCCTGATTTAATCTTCCAAGTCCTACAAAAGTAAAAATAAAGATAAACTATCAATGTGTCAGTTTGTTGTACTAAATTGTAAATCACACTGTAATCCCAGCAGTGACTTTTCCAAACCTGAGGACCAAGCTCTGATTATACTCTAAGCTGACTGGTGAAAGCAGAGAAGTGACCTTAAAGTTTAGAGATTCCAGGTCCCCTTTTAATAATTGTTATTGGCATTAATCCCATGTATATATACATGACAGTCATCTTTTGGAGATGTACTAAAGTCAGTCTGTGGATGAGAGCTGGCTTCATATATTTTACAAGGTTAATGAGGATTAATTAAAAGTTATGAAAACTGAAATACAGTATTCAACATCAAGATAAATGGGTGCAGGATATATCAAAGCCAATTTTATAACTTTAAAGATATACACATGTATATTAAATCCAACTCTTATTTAATCCTTATCAGGTACAAGTCAATCTGGGCTTATGACTTGTGAGATATGTAACATCTAAGTTAATGACTTGAGATAAATGACAACCAACTTAATGACTTCATATATATGACAACCAACTAAATTGAGATATATGACAACCATCTTAATAACTTGTGAGATACATGAGATATATAACCACTAAATTGTAATGATAGTGAGACAAACAAAATATTACCTGATTACTGATGAAATATATGACAATCAACTGACTTGTGAGATACACACACCAGTAACTTATTGACTTGACATATATGACAATCAACTTATAATGACTTGTGAGATACATAAGATACATGACATCTAATTAATGACTAGAAAGATACACAGCTTGATTAATGATGAGATACATGACAACCAACTGACTGAACTGAACAACTTGTGAAATACAAGACTTAACTTAATGACTTGAGATATATGACAACTAACTTATAGACTTGTGAGATATATGACAATTGAAAAATTATTTACTTGGAAATGTGCCAATGACTATAGAATCAATTTAAAGGAGTTAAGTTTTCTTCCAGACATGTAATGGAAATAGATTGTTCTAAATGTGTTAGCCATTTTTCAGTTACATATTTTCCATTGCATGACCTACATTAACAGGTGTATAAATCATCAATGTCCACATAAGTAGTAAATCAACCAATGCAACCAGGCTCCGGGGCCATAAAACTTAGATCACTTTTGATCTCAGTCTCACTTTTCCACCATGTATTCCTTTTTATAAAAGTGAGACTGAGATCAAAAGTGAGCTCATCTAAGTTTTATGGTCCCAGAGTCTGAAGTAACTTAAGTGAGTCTACCTATGCTGGCTTCTCCCAGGATAAGGTAAGAAGGCACAAGTTCAATGCTAGCCAAGCCATGAACATCGATGGCAAATCTCAAGGACTGCATGGCTGCAGGCACAGCCTGCTCATGCCGTCCCTCAAACAGCAATTTCTGTCCCGTGGTTCTGGTCAAAACAATCATGTGTTCCTAAAAATATTTTAATTCACTTTGATTTGATGTCAAATAATTTGAATTGAGCAGAAAATGAAAATATAAGGTTAAGCATACATGGGAGAATCAGTATGTTTTGGAATGATTCAAGTTAAATGGACACCTTTTTACTCTGCAGCTGTTTTTCTCTTTTCTGTCTCTCCTCTTCTGATGGGAGAAATGGTGCTGCTTGTCTTAATGCGATTAAACTCTGACATATTTTTTCATGGATTCCCATCCAGTCTGCTTTCTGATGTTCGATACCACTGAAAAAAAAAAATTAATTCACTTTTAAATAATTGACTTTCACATTTATAAGCTATAAATTTCCCTTTGCAGTGTCTAGTCTGGAATCAATCAGCTAAATTACTCTTTTCTCTCTGATATTGACAAATTAGTTAGTGCTGTATGTATATATATGTAGGTTGCATGTTTTCTCTGTTGGTCCCATACTGTGCCAGTAAAATCACAGAATGACTAAGTGCAGCTTTAGAATGAAATGAATGCACTAAATTTTGAAGATAGTAAAACAATATCATCATCGTTTATTTATCACTTTACTTGATACATTATAAATTTTAAAATTTCCAAACAGTCTGTCTCTGAAATTAACGTAGCTAAAAAGAAACAAGCAGTTGTACATGAGATTTTTTTGTTCCTTTAAGCGACAGTATGCAGCATGTTGCTAGAATCATACAAGCAATGTGCAAGTCTGATATCATATGACAAAAAATAAGCAAGCCTATTATGCAGACACTCCACAGGCGTTTGTTTCATACAGTACGCTAGTTTTCTACTGTACACAAATACAATAACACGTTATTGTATAGTAGAAAACTAGCGTACTGTATGAAACAAACGCCTGTGAGAAAACTAGCGTACTGTATGAAACAAACGCCTGTGAGACACTCACCAATAATACGTGACTCGACATTTTGTACACTGTATATATGCTGGTTTTTGGCACAATTCACAGACTAATTTTAACCCTTTCGGGTTGGCCAGAGGATTAAGTGTCATTTTGCACGAGCACTTTGTCTAATGTTGATACTCCTTCCGTCTAACATTCGCCGCCATATTGTTGAAGGGTTGCTAAGAAAAATCGACATCCTCACTTCCGTAGTTACTGCAAATAGGAATTGGCGCCAAATTCAATTTCTTGTCTATATCTTTATAAAAGATTTTTTAGGTCACTTTAAAGATGTGCAAAATATATATAATAATGATAAAAATAATAATTACCATTTATTACCATTATAATAAAATATGAGTATAATACCCTTTCAAGATGTCACGGCACAAAAGATTTTTTTTCTTAAAAAAAAAAGAAAGAAAAATATTTTAAAACAAAATAGTTTTTCTTTTCAGTAACATCTTTAGAGATGATTAGAAATGTATGATGCCGTTTCTTTTAGACGGAAAACCTCGTCCGACTCGTACCTAATCTAAATGATGCATGACAAAGGCGACGGAATCTTTATCATTATTTCTTCAGACTTTAGCATGTCTTCTTCTGGTTCCGCTGTAAACACGTGTGCGAGTGTCAGACATTTCCACTTTTATACTTTGTAAGATGACAACTGTAAACGAAGCACAGATGAAGCTGTTTGCTGATCTGGAAATTGAAATGACTGCAGATATGTATAACAAGTAAGCTTGATAATTTTTTCCTTAGCATTTGGTTACAGGCCAAATAAACTTTTGCCTCTATAGAGTAAATTCGAGTTACTCAGATTATAAAAATATTCATTTTGTTCTGTTACGAAATATAATGAGTTATATACATCCTAGGAGTGCATCTTTTTGGCTTTTTTTAAGCAAGTAATTTAAAAAAAAAATTTAATCGACATAAATAACGTAGTGTTAACTAGTATGTATCTGATGCTAAGAGCCAATCTCCCTTGCAGAGTTGTCGGTCGTTCGTTCCCCTCTCAGACACCTCAGAGGTGAATGTATAAGCCGATGGTAGAGAATGGCTTAGAGCATGTTTACTACTTTGGCCAAATTGTCTTTTTTTGCATCTCTATTTAATTGATAATAGAGTTATGTTTGCACGCACTTTACGTTACCAAATTAGTAGACTTCACACACACACACACACGCACACACAAATATACAGTAAAACTTCTCTAAACTGGCCAGCTGCCAGACTGAATGAAATGGCCGGAGTAGAGGGGTGGCCGGTTTACCAAAAATTGATTTTTTTCTCAGCTTTTGTCTATGTTCAGTGTCCAATTCTAATAAGCCTCTTATGTCTATATAAAAGTATGATGCAACATGGCTCACGATATTTTGTTTATTCATTATGTGTTTGATATTTTATTAATTCAATAGTTGTTTGATATTTTAATAATTCATGAAGCTTAATCATGTGTACACGACTAGGACCGTTTCACAACACAGGTAAACAATAGAAAACCCTACATGTAAGAGGCCGTTTGCAGTTTTTCACACCTCTGAGTTCTGGTTGGTATTTTCACACCTCTGGCTGGTCGTTACTACCACTCTGGCCAATGACAGTTATAATTCTTGCATTCAAAAAAGTGGCTGGTATTATGAGGGAAAATTAGCTAGTTTTCTTACATTTTGTTCTTGGAAAAGTGGCCGGTGTTGGGTTTTAAGGGGTGACCGGTTTTATGAGAATTAAATGTGTAAAGATATGTTAAGAATTTTGCCGGGAATTATAATATCGGCCGATGTGTAGGGAGAACCGGTTTTCAGGTGGACCGGTTTGGAGAAGTTTCACTGTATATATATAGTTAGAATAATCTAACTGTGTCTCGGGACAAGCCCTCACCACAGTTGTTAAGCCGGGTCCGTAGGACAATATCATTTAACGATAGAACGTTCTATCTAATATATATATAATGATTTGGGCCATGGCTATCGGCCTTGGTAGCTCAGTAGGTAGAGCACCTGACTAGTGATGCATGGCTCCCGGGTTCCATTCCCGGTCCAGCCATACCTTTTCTCCTTTCCTGGTACATAATTTGGTGCTGTTGACACCCCTGGACTTGCAGGTAAAAATCCTGCCAGTTTAAAGGACAATTTAAGGAGGGAGGAATGTAATGGTGTGGGCAGTTGCTATTGGCCTGGGTAGCTCAGTCGGTAGAGCACCTGACTAGTGATGCAGGAATCCAGGTTCCATCCACGGTCCAGCCATACATTTTCTCCTTTCCTGTTAGTTATATATATACGAGGGATGTCCATAAAATCAGAGACATCGCATTTTTATTGAAAAATTATGCAAACACTGAGCTGAAACTTTCATCAAATGTTTATTTATCATAACCATGTTTTCTGGTTTGGTTTTTGAAATGGTGAAAATGACGTGCAGGAGGGGCTGCAGCCCAAAGGGTCCATCATTTGTCGATGTAGATATTTCCTTCAACAGTTTTTTAGACTGGAACTTTTTTATTTTTTAAATCAATATTTACATAGATCAGAGCACATTATTTGGATTTTGATTAGAATACCAGTTGTTGAACTTGGTATTCTTTATTAAAAAAAAAATATTGAGTATAGGGTACTCACTGTGGAATCATCACTGTTTGTGGGGGTCAATGTTCGTGGGTAATCAAAATTTTACTGGTTCTTGGGGACATAATTTTGTTGGTAAACTATATGTTTTATCAAAATAGCTAGATAACTCTACTGCTCAATGCATTTGTGGGGATGTAAATTCATGGGTAAGGGTGACCCACGAAATCCACGAACATTGATCCCCCACAAACAATGATGATTCCATAGTACATCATTTGTCGCTGACAAAAGGAAATAAGTCTTGTAAATGTGAAATTCCTCTATTCATGCGAGAAATATCAGTACTTTCACACAAAGAAAACCTGATTTGCTGTCACATTGACAGCTTTCAACTTTCATTATATTCAATCTGTTCAGTGGGTCATAGTAAGATATATAGAATTTTGTACATGTAATTTAATGTAGTCAACTTGTATACTGAGTTTTCTTGAAATCCAACAACTGTAGTAAAAATTGACTACATTAAAATACATTTACAATATTCTATATATATTTCAACAAAAATGTTGCCATGGTTATACAAAATATAATTTCTTCAAGATTCCTTTAAAATGATTTCTTATTTTGACTGTATGCCAATATGGCGCTGTCAATAAATTGAATTGATACTAAGTACCAAATCCAAGATGGCCTCCTTAGTTACAACTTCGCAACACATACGGTGGGGAATTATTTTGTACATCTTAGCATATTAAATGTATATTTACATATTTATTTTAAAATGTAAATCATCTTACAGTTTAAGCCAAATTAAACAAAAAAAAATTGGTACACAATATTAAGCTATAATATTACATGATTATATGTGTGTGTTTTCTTTTTAATTTCATGATTGGTAATGCCATGGTTATTAAATAAATAAATTTCTTTTAAAATACTAATTCTCTGACAGATTTGGTCTAATTTCAGTAATTTCATACATAATTAGATTACATTAAGATTCAAAATTATTTGTATCTGTTGATTTACATGAATAATATTGCAGTGGTTACTGGAAATAGAATAATGTTTGGAAATTTTTTAAAATGTTACTCCTAAAATAGTTTTTGTATGATTTCATTAAGAAGTGGTAGTAAACTGAACCAGGAATCATCATTCTGTTTCATGGTCTTGCTATAGCTCCTAAATTTCAAGCCAGGTACGTCAGAGACTTTGGGTTTATATTGTATAACGTAATATTGAAGAAAACATCTTTATCAATCTTCTGCTAAGGAAAATCAGGGATACAATCAATCAAATGTATGTGAAAGCAGCCCTCATCCCAATATTGTTATTATCTGTTCTGATGCCGTAAACTTAAATAAGTTCATTTTTGATCTCAGTCTCACTTTTACAATAGGAATTTATAGTGGAAAAGTGAGACTGGGATCAAAAGTGAGCTCATCAATTTTTATTGCCCAGAGGCCAGGGCTAATCCAGCATAAGGGTGGTTAAATTACTTAAGCATTGAATCATTTTTTTTTTTGAAAGATATAGTCTCATAACTGCAATGGTGTGTGTAAACAAATTGAGTGACGCACATTAGCGCGTTATGAAATTTGTTTGCACACATCATTGCAGTTATGTACGAAAGCCCAGAAGGATCATTCGAGATTCGAGTTTCGAAATACGAGATTCGAAATTCGAGTTTCGAGATTCAAGATCCAAACTAACCAATCAAAAGGCGGTTTAAGATTCAATTACTCCCCTTTGCTAAGTTTTGACCTTCTAGAAATCGTTAAATAAATTCAAACCGAATAGGTCATTTGATTATATTACAATGCAAGAAAGAGTGTTATATATATCAGAACGAAATTAGAAAAAATTATTGGGTTTTTGGTCTGCAAAATATGCTTAAATTCATTATAAATTCTTAAATATTATAATAGATTTATATCAAGAATATCTATACCGTATTATCTACTTTGCTTACAGGTTTGATTTTTTTTCAATTTAATCAGTATTTTATTATGTAAAGTCAGTTTACATAATTGGATTGGACATCAGGCATGGCCTATATAAGTCCTCTCCAAGAAGGTCAAGGTTACAAATGTTAAGAATTGACAAAGATTTACAATCATGATGAAATAATTCATAATAAGTTACATTAATTTCTTCTTCTTTTTTTTTACCAGAAATAGGAGAAAAAAAGAGAGATAGATTAATAAATTCACAAGAGTTATTACTTAGCATGTATACTCACTATACAATATAATGAAAAAATAAAAGAGTGCAAAGAATAAGTAAACAAATGAAGTGCAAAAGACAAATATGCAAGGAAATTAAAAAAAAAAAAAAAAAGAAAGAAAAAAAAAGCAAAGAAAATAGTATTGATAATAACAAATAAATAAATCTGGAACAAGCAAAAACACTGGATAATAATAAAGAAAAAAATGAAAATGCAAAAGACAAATAAAAAAAAAAATACAATATATATACATGGAAATGCTGAGATTTGAAATAAGTATAAATATCAAAAATATTAGGAAATTAATATTAAAACTTAAATATGAAATAATATCAAAATCGCTTTGAAAACTTGATGTATAGTTGGACTGCTTCAAAAATTGAACAGTTAGTTTTATCAGACAATTGCCTATCACCAAATAGCAAATTATTCAAAAGGATGACTGCACTTAAGGACATGCGGAATTTGCGACAAAATAAACTTTCAAAACAAACATTTTTCTTTTCATTGCAAGAATGGTCAACATCCAATCTACAACTTTATCTAATTACGTTTAATAAAAGTGTATATTTACGAAGTTCGAATCTGTTTTCAAAGGCAGGGGTCATCACAATTTCTTAAATCTCCGTTCGATAATGAGGACGCCCACTTTTTCACTGACTTTATACATAGTCAGCGCATGTTTGTCTATTGTTCTACGTTTAACAATAGTTGTATATTTGCATAAATAATAATGTGTCAAAAGGAGATTAATAGACAAACATGCGCTCATGGTTAAAAAGAGAAAAAACTGCTTCTTCTTACATTCGTTCTCTGTGTTGTAACCAAGGATTGTGACATGTTGAATATTATAATTCACCACGTGATTTCTTACCTCAGGTAACTTTGTGAATACTTAATTCCGTCGCGTGACTTGTAAGGTAGCATGTGCTAACTAGGACATTGTGTTCGAACACGTTTAGTCATCTGGCATTGATATAAAATCTGCTTTAATTACATTGACGTGCTCATATTGTTAATTTCGTTTTGAAACCTTTGTCAGAAGTGTATTTGTGCCATACAGAATGGAGAGGGAGATTTGAAAGAGTGGTCACGTTCTTTTTTCCAAACATGTCATTGTTATCTATCAAGTCTAATTTTAGACTCATTCTTACAATATTAGCTCCACCTCTCATGCATACGTAATGTTCAATCAAGGGCAGGTAAGTGTAAATTCACTATATTTGGAAAGCAGTAAGGACAAAAAACATTGAATCATTTTATTGTATCACAGTCTAAAATCATTTTAAGATTTAAATGTGGTTCCAAATTGACAGTATTCTTTCATAAACATACAAAAGTGAGATAAGGTTTAGAAATAAAAGCAACAGAAGCAACCGAAAAAGACCAAAAAACAGGCGTTAAGTGCAGTCATCCTTTGATCTGGAGAGAGGGTTTGATGTCAAAGTAATAAATATTGTTAATCGGATTCAAAGAACAAGGGGGGGGGGGGTATTGTAGTCGATGGGAATTATTAGTGTGCAATAGAAGAATTAACTAGCGATTATTTCAGGAATAACTGTCGAATTCTTTGGATTCATGATGTGATCAATCGAGTGGCTTGTGTGATAATTTGCATAAACGCCGAAGGCGTTTATGCATAAAATTATCACGCAAGCCAATCGATTGATCATCGTCATGAATCCAAAAAATCTGACAGTTATTCCTTATATTTACTTGCTCCTGATTCTGCAAATTCCCGTGCTAATAGCCCCGCTTCTGTCTCTATTTGTCCCGCCCCGCACGTGATTTTTTTTAACCGCGCCTATCGATGAACCAGTAGATTTATGTAGAAATAAAGTATTTTTACAATTTGTAATTTTATCTCGGACAAAGACATTGGAAATGTAAATATTAAATAATAAATAGTGATACGGGTTTCAAAGTAGATATAGTCTGTGACATAAGAAAGTGACCAGTGACCAATACGGGTTTCAAAGTAGATATAGTTTGTGACAAGGTATTAGAAAGTGACCAGTGACCAAGTTTGTGAAACCAAGAGACAGACCCTTAAGTAGGGATGGCTGAAATATACATGCTTAATAAAAGTAATGACTTCTCTTTGTTCAGGCCCGTAGGAAATAATTTTAATAAATCACTGTAAAGCCCCCCCCCCCCTCCAAAAAATAGCAACAGGGGGTTATCACTGTTATTAGACGTTATTTTTGAAAAGACACAAGCATAATGTTGCTATGTTTTCTATAGTATATTATATCGGTAAACAACATAAGGGGAATGTGTGTGCGTGTGTGTGTGTGGGGGGGGGGAGGGGGGGGAGTAGAGACACGTGCCCGGGGTCCTATGGCTATGTTATTTATTTTATTACAACGTTAGACAAATGTTCGGTTATCAACATTCAGTGTCAATCTTGCAATGCATGGGTAAAATAATTATATATTCGATAATTATTTATAGAAACCGCTCGGGTCTCGCAAGATACATAATCAATCAATACACAAGTTTCAATACATGATGTAATGGCCATAGAGAAAACAGATATAAAGTATTTGATAATGTTAAGAAATTATAATTATTTTAACAAAACAATGGACCCTCTATACACCTTTAGGACTTTGAAAAAATTGTATAGCCCAAAGCAGTTCGTATTAAAATTACTTATAGTTCATGTATGCCTTTTAGTGTACACAGGAAATCTTAAAGACATCGTAGTAGTGATAAAGAAAAATCGCGTTCGCTTTCCCAGTGGTGTATATATTCCATATAGGCGAAAAGGCTGTAGCCTATACATCATTTTCTTGATGTGAAAAAAAAATATTTATTTATGCATGTACATTGTGTTTGCTTGAAAAATGGGGTAAAGTTGATCATAAAACTTATTTATTTACCAGTTACTAGAATATTTTTTATCAAATGCAATAAAAGTTTTTTTTAGCAATCCACACTTTTATGCCTATCCAATTTTTACAGTATACACAACTTTTGATTTTTATAGCTGGTTAAATCTAAAATTGAAATGTTACTTTGAAGTCGATATCAGACTATTGAAAAATGACAACAGGAGTCTACGATTAGGACAGGGAATAGAAATTAGGAAACATGTCTGGGTTAGTAGGAAGTCAAACATATATTTAGATTATTCAGTAAAGAAGTTTCCATAATTTCCAGGTACTGTGTAAGGATTTTAAAATTTCTCAATTTTATTAAGAGTGGTCATGAAGATTTTAATTTCTGTATCATAAAAATATGTTTAAATGATTTATAATTATATTCACTTGATAAATGACAATGATAGATGTCTCCAAGATCGCAGAAAGTGGTCCTCCGACCCCCCCCCCCCTCCATTGAGAGGAGGCAACTCTCTCCTTGCCTATCCACAACTCGGCAATGATGCGCTTTAGGTGAAATCTGTGACTTCACATTAGCCTACACATTAGCAGAAGGGAATATACACCACTGTTTCCCAATAGGAGAAATACATAAAAAATTAAGTTTTCAATTACTTATCTTGGTCTAAGGCTTTGAATACTTGAATTAATTAAAAATTATATGTACAATACAGACTGGAATTTATTTTATTCCATTTCAAATAGTAGATCAGTCTAACTTGCACAAATGCACCCTTAAAAGTAATGAAATGTATCCTTAATTAAATTACTGTGCAGTGTAAAGACGATCCTTAGTATTTCATATCAATAATAATTTTCTCCCTCATCCATGTGCTAATTAAATAATTTATCGAACTACTAATTCAGCAATTCAACTATAAGACCATATAATATTCTATAGATGTATCTATTGTTTTGTTTAATGAGGAAAATCAGATTTTATACACATTTTTTTTCAAAACGTGGCCCAAATTCAGTTTTATATTGTTTTGATACATATAACATTTTTTCTTGCATTATTTTTTAAGCAAATGACCCATGTGTTATAAATATATTCAGTGATTTCTTGATAGTAATAACTTAATAAAGGGATGTAATCAAATATTGAACCCGCCTTTTGATTGGTTAGTTTGGATAATGAATCTCGAAACTCGAATTTCGAATGAGCCTTCTGGGCTTTCGTAGTTATGAGACTATATCTTTCAAAAAATAATGATTCAGTGCTTATATTTACATTTTTTAACTCTTTGTCTTGACTGCAAATCTGATTTTTATTTCAAAATCCAGGCTTTATTATCCTTCGGGTAAGTTATGATTTATGGAAGAGCTGTTCAACAGCTTCTGTTCAATGTAAGCGTGAATTCTGAGTTTCGCTTATGACGTTGAACTTCCACGGCGTTCAGTGTTTGTGACATCAAAATAAAACGCATACTTGAACCTTTTGACCCTCTGTCCGTGTTATGGTGTTTTGAATGCCGTAGCTTTCCTCACAATTTATAAGCAAAATACATGCTGAATGTAAATATACAGAATTATATTGTAAAAAATCTTTTCGTGCTGGAGACTGCAGGATTTCTGCTCATCACTAGTAAATCATGAAAGGATGACTTTTTTAAAAATATTACATTGATTGCTCCTCATAAAGTAATTAAATTATATGTATTAATGGACTTTTTACCTATGTATTTCTTCCATTTGAATAGATCTATTTTAGATATTACTTATAAAGCTCAAAGTGGTTACATAGATGTGCTTTGACAGTTATATAATGTTGATCATTAGTGCGTGGTTTGCCACTTCTGTCCAGTAATGGCTGAGTCATAATATATGGATGTATGATGCAACAGGATGTGAAGTACATGTAGACTATTCTTCACAATACTGTAGGCAGCAAATCATGCATGAACTCTAATGCCCTGTTCACACGGAGAGTTTAATTCGCAGTAAATTAATGCGAAGTAAAATGATGCGAATTAAACTAATGCGAATTAAATTGCGTTCACACGACAGCTAATGCGAAGTAAACTAATGCGAATTATAATTTTATTTCTACAGCAAGGCTATTCAGTGAGGCTATTATGACGTCATTTACAAACACGTCATATTGTTCCCAGCAAATATACATTTGACATAATGTCAGTGTCTGTACACATTTTAGTGTTAACGTAATTTTCCTTTGTTTTCCACTCAAAAATAGCACAAGTACCTATATTTGACCATCGACATGTGGCCTGTGACTTAATTCTGCCCTTACGCATGCGTCAAAATTTAATTCGAATTAGCTTCGCTTAGCGTTCACACGAAGCTAATGCGAAGTAATTTAATGCGCAGTAAACTAATTCGAATTAAACTAATTCGCATTAAATTCTCCGTGTGAACGCGGATCAAATTTAATTCGCAGTAACTTACGTTTAATTCGAATTAAACTCTCCGTGTGAACAGGGCATAAGTGCACGAGTACTAATTTATTCATCCACTTAGCCGTCAATCGTTGCATGACTAGTGCACTTGTCCTAATGTAGCTGTTTATTTTTACAGGATGACGGCATGTTGTCTACAGAAGTGTATACCCCCCAAATACAAGGAAGCAGAACTCTCTAAAGGAGAGGCCGTGTGTCTCGACAGGTGTGTGGCTAAGTACATGGAAATCCACGACAGAATCGGCAAAAAATTAACCTCCCTGTCACAGGAGGACGAGGCTAAAGTCAAACAAATGCAGGCCCATCTCCAACAAACATCCTGAAATGTTCTCACGTTGTGTGGGCCATTATTATCTGTGTTGTGATTGAGTGGTACTTGTATGTGTCAGTACAATTTGAAGTGAAACATATGATAATGACTTTTAATGTCATTCAAAATGTATATAAGAGTAAAAGGAACTGAATAAATGTACCGTGAATGCAAATTAATATTGAATTTTACTAGAAATAATACACTTTAGTTTGTTATGACATATATGTATTATAAAAATAGGAAATATAGAATAAAATAGAAAAAAACATTTGTACATTTTGTTGTTCAAGATTATTAAAACTTACATGTAGGTAATCAAAGTAAGCCCATTCATTACATGTAATTTTAGCACTACTTGTATAGGCCTTTCATTAATTAAGGACATATGCAACGTAATTTGAACTCTGTTGTCTTTTTCTTTGGAGTTGAAGAGTTCCAATACTTAAAGGAACTGTGTGCTACATTTTAATGTCTATATATGCTATTGTACACTTCTTCTAAAACAAGTTTGGATAAACAAAACATCTAGAATATATGTTTAGTAATTTTTGTATATTTTTCTTTGAATTATATAAGAATTTTCATTAATTGTTATCTTTTCAAAACCCGTGGTAATGCATGCTGGTTTTTTAATTTTCGAACATCTGATGGCACTATAATCTTAAATTAAGAATATCTTGGAAAAATATCAGAAGGTAAGGTATGTTGTTGCGTATGTGACGGTATGTCCTTAACTAAGAAATGTTACTTGCAGCATCTTAAGCAAGATGTTTATTACACTATTATAAATTTCTGATACATCATCTGTGCAAGTTGGGTCAAAATAAGAAATGGACCTGCTCCAAAAATTTTAATCTATATACTTGTCATGAAAATATGAAATATACAGATGTTTGTAAGTCACCTGTAGCAACCGAAGTAAGTGATGCTGGTTTGCATAACTTACATGCATAATTCATTTATTTTTGGTCAAGGTAGGGCATGTATGTAGTTACTTGGAAATGATTTTTTACCTGGTCATTTATCCTGAAAAAATAGATCAGTTAAAGCATCCTCCAACGCTATAGGTATAGCACAAGTTCATCTCGAAGAACCTTTTGGGTACAGAGCACGCCCCCCCCCCCCCCCCCCACCACCACCAAGCACCTCTGATTTAATCATATTTAGTGGCTATGGCGATAGCAGTCTAGAGTTATTTTCCGATAAACATAGCCAGTAAATCAAGACGCACGTACTGGTATTACCGCGAGAAAATCCACCCAGCATTAAATATAGCTTACCCAATCATGACAAGGAGCACAGGGGATGCTTACTCCTCCATGACACCTGATCCCGCCTCTAATGTTTTAGGAGGTCCGTGTTTGCTCTCCTCCCAATCTGTATTTTTTTCAATGGACTTTTGAGCTTGATGTTTGATATTTCATACCTCATTTAAAGACTATTATAACAGCATCTTCTTATTAAATTACGACAACAGGGCTATAATATATATTAAATTTATTTATATGTACTTTGGTTCATGTCGAAGAAATAAAGGGGTGAAGTAAAAGATGATAACCGATGATTCTATATATTTTATTTTCAAGTCCTAAATGACATTTTTTTTAATATCAAACTGGCATATCATGATTGTCATTTACTATTTTAACAAAGCAGTTTTAGGCATATACAATTGTATTCTAACCATTACTAAAATAAAAGGATCACTTATGTACATGTTTAGAGTAGATGGTCAAGGTCATTTTGAATAATACATCAAAGGAAACGGATACTACGTTACAGTTTCCCTTCAAAAGTGAATCCCACTAATTGAACCTAAATGCCCCAAGAAATCAATTACAGTTCCATGGATATGATAATGTTTTTAAATTGCTTACTGAGACCACTTAAAAACATCCCATGATTTGAAAGTATTTTATTGCAGTGAAATATACAATAGGATTGTGTCCCATAGTTTGTACAGAATGAATTAACTCACAATTATGAAAATATATACTGCTAAGGTATGGCTGATAAATTATATTTAGAAACAAAGGATCGAATTTTATAGAAAATAATAAATTTAAAAATACATGGCGACGTAATAAAATATATTGATATATACCTGTGTTGGTATATAAAGTTATGTAATATGGAAAATGTTCGAAATTCGGTCTGTTTATTAAAATTGTCGTATTGCAGCATAATTTTTTCCTTGATATATGAGAAGCAAAATGTACAAAAATCAACATAAACTCTTCTAATTATACGAAGACAAGCGGTGTTTTTAGTTGAAATAATGTCTTGACTTGTCTGTTTATCATGCATGGAATTGTTTTATTAGCTCACCTGAGCTGAAAGCTCAAGTGAGCTTTTCTGATCACCCGATGTCCGTCGTCCGTCCGTCTGTAAACTTTTCACATTTTCACCTTCTTCTCAAGAACCACTGGACCAATTTTAACCAAACTTGGTACAAAGCATCCTTATGTAAAGGGGAGTTAAAATTGTTAAAATGAAGGGCCAAGCTTCCTTCAAGGGGGAGATAATCAAGAAAAGACAAAAATAGGGTGGGGTCATTAAAAAATCTTCTTCTCAAGAACCACTAGGCCAGAAAAGCTGAAACTTATGTCGAAACATCCTGGGGTAGTGTAGATTCTAAATTGTTCAAATCATGACCCCCGGGGGTAGGGCGGGGCCATAATAGGGAATCCAAGTTTTACATTGAAATATATAGAAAAAAATCTTTAAAAATCTTCTTCTCAAGAACCACTGGGCCAGAAAAGCTGAAACTTATGTGGAAGCAACCTGGGGTATTGTAGATTCTAAATTGTTAAAATCTTGACCCCGGGGGGTAGGGCGCGGCCACAATAGGGAATCCAAGTTTTACATTGAAATATGTAGTAAAAATCTTTAAAAAATATTCTTCTCAAGAACCACTGGGCAAGAATAGCTGAAACTTACGTAGAAACATCCTTGGGTAGTGAGGATTCTGAATTGTTCCAATCATGACCCCCGGGGGTAGGGTGGGGCCACAATAGGGAATCCAAGTTTTACATTGAAACATCTAGAAAAAAATCTTTAAAAATCTTCTTCTCAAGAACAACTGGGCCAGAAAAGCTGAAACTTATGTGAAAGCATTCTGTGGTAGTGTAAATTCTAAATTGTTCAAATCGTGACCCCCGGGGGGGGGGGGGGGGTTAGGGCGGGGCCACAATAGGGAATCCAAGTTTTACATTGAAACATGTAGTAAAAATCTTTAAAAATCTTCTTCTCAAGAACCACTGGGCCAGAAAAGCTGAAACTTATGTGAAAGCATTCTGTGGTAGTGTAGATTTTAAATTGATTAAATCGTGACCCCGGGGGGTAGGGCGGGGCCACAATAGGGAATCCAAGTTTTTCATTGAAACATCTAGAAAAAAATCTTTAAAAATCTTCTTCTCAAAAACCACTTGGCCAGAAAAGCTGAAACTTCGAAATTCAAGATAAAGGGCAAAAATTATAATACATTCGGAAAGGCCTTATTAAAGGTTAAATATTCTCGGCGGTAACTTTTATCAATTAGAAAAATCAATCTTTTTTGTATGAGGGACAGATATGACAGAATGCCATAGATCACTGCAACCCAACCAATAAACAGCACAGTTGTTCCATCTATTTGTAACTTGTGTTCGTAAATAATCTTTCTCTTTGTAGAGTCCACAGTGCAACACTACAGACTCTTTTTTTTTTTTTTTTAGCTTTTTTTCTTTCAATGTTATGTCCATTATATTTAATTTTGATAGTACATATATATACTCACACCAGGCTTGAGACTATCTATGATGATATTCAGCAGGAGAAGAAGGACACGCTGACAAAGTTCAGTTGTCTTAAACTAGTGACCAGAATAAAAGATAAATAGCACACAAACTTTTGTTCAGAAATAAGCAATATTTTCCAAAGATTAATATTCAAATATGTAACCTGAATTGTGGGGTAAAGTGGAAAAATTTTGTAAGATTTTGTCACAATGTTAAAAATGGGTGCAAACTCTTGTACAGAATTACATAGAAAACATGTAAATTAAAGTTGCATACCTAAGCACCAAAGAAAACTTATGATTTCTTTATACTTTAAAGATTTACCATTTATGTCATTTCTATTCAAAATCAGAGTCCTTTCCAACTTTGCTGATCGCCATTATAAATATTCACTTGTTGAATTTAAACAAGGGGTATACTAGTATATATGTCGGAACTTTACATTATTTTTAGCATTATATCATGGACCCACCCTTAGAATTAGGGCATGGATCCACCCGTGAGATTGTTTTTCCTTTGGCAATAAATATCTTCAACATTGCGTGCCAGTCTTATAAGATTAATTGGATTGACCTCCAGGGTCATGCCCTGCATTCTACACTTGTCACAGCAAATTATAAAACATGTATATAGGAAGAATCGTACTTACAAAACAAAGAAGCCTAAGATATGACCGAGAAAGCACTCGGAATGTGGCTAATAAGATAGTCTCTTTATCAAGATAATAACTTCAAACATTTTTAAAGGGATGGAAACTCTGTTTAAGAGCTAATTATATCCTTTTAGGGAAGAGGAAAGTAAACAGATAGACTATAGGCTATATAAATGCGTGTCATTTGAATTAAAACATACTATTTTAAGAATGCACTTGATAATTAAAAAAATGAGGGAAAGTGTGGAGGAGGCGAAAGAGATGTTTGTAGCTTAGTATATTTCAAGGGGTATAAAAGCAAAAACTAATATTTTCAAAAATCTATCGGTAGAAATGATAAAATGTTTGTGCAGAGATTGAATTTAAACTTTGTCAGTCGGACCAAAGAATCACTCACTGAACCCTCAAGAAACTCGTCGGTAAGGATACTATACAAACATTAGACTTTAAATATTCTCACAAAATACAAGAAAAATTTCTCATAAATTAGAACTTTTAAAGTGTCTTTAACTAAAAAATATATAGAATAGTCAATGTTTTGTAGTTGGATATGGAATTTATTTCACTCGTGAGACAGGAATTTTTGATATTTTCACTCGTGCTTCGCACTCGTGAAAATAAAAAAAAAAATCCTGTCCCACTTGTGAAATAAATTCCATATCCAACTACAAAACATTGAATTTTCTGTTTATTACATTTTCTTTGATTTTCCCTTTGCCTCTGTCTTTCTTTACACAGCATCATGTATATAGTTGAACAGTTGAGATATCATAGCTTAGCAGTTGTGAGAGTGAAAACATTGTAATATGAATTTTTAGCAACATATTTTGGAAGAAATTGGCAGTTTTAGTCTCTATCAAGATGGTTTAGTTACAATCTCTGTTTTATTACAGGCCAGAAATTATTTTTTACTTACTTTGATATCCTTTCACACTGTAAAAGAATATCATTTTGATATCCTTTCATACTGTGAGAGAATATCACTTTTATTCAATAAATAAATCACAGTATTTCACTGTTGAAAATGTAATAGATATACATAAACTTTTAATTCAAAGTTCATACTTACTAAGAAAAAGTGCCTACTCAAAAGCAAGTTAAAAGCAACATGATCAAATATATTTGAACCAGACGAAAACCCGTTCACAAAAAG